GGCATGGAGGGGTGATGGAGAGAAGTCGAGGCTTGGGAACATGTGGCAGTGTCAGAGCCTCTGAAGAGAGCTCGGGAGATGCCGTTGGTGAAAGTGGCACCCAGATGCAGAGGGGATCCTAGCATCTCGGAGATGCCAGTGCCACGGGACAACCAGCAAGGACATGAGGTGTGCAGTCAGCCTGAGGCTAGGAGACGAGCCATGTGTGCTGTGGTTGGCAGAGCCAGAGATGTGGAGCTGTGCAGGCCTTTTGCAATCCACAGGATTGTGAGTGGGTCCCAGGCATCAGGCACTGAGCATTTACATTGCTGAACTTCTGTTTGTTTTGTCCTGGTTGTGACTGTGCCCTGGTTCCTTCTCTCTTGGATTAAGAGGGTATTTAACTCTCTCTCTTTCTTGCTCTCTCTTAGGAGTCCATATTGAAAACACTGGAATTTTAGAGATTCAGATACTTTAGAGAGACTTCAGATAATTTTTTAAAAAATTCATCTCTCCTACAATATATTCCAACCAGTTTCCCTTCCTTCACTCCTCCCAGTCTCCCTGTCCCCTTTCCAGATCTACTCCTCCTCTGTTTCCTTTCAGAAAAGAGCAAGCCTCCCAGGGATATCAACCAAACATGGCGTAACAAGTTACAATAGGACCAGGCACAAACCTTCATATCAGGTCTGAGTAAGGCAACCCAGTAGGAAGAAAAGTGTCTCAAGAGCAGGTGAAAGAGTCAGAGACACCCACATTCCCACTGTTAGGAGTCCACAAAAACACCAAGCCAACAACCATAACATGTTTGCAGAGGATCTAGCTCAGACCCATGCAGGCTCCATGATTTCTGCTTCAGTTTCCGTGAACCCCTAGGAGCCCTGCTTAATTGATTCTGCCATTTCCTCCCGCTGTCCTCCACCTTTCTGACTCCTACAGTTCTCTTCCCTCTTTCCATGGGGTTTTCTCAACTTCGAGGAGAAGATCTCTATGGAGATCTCAAATTTGGGATCTTTCTCCACCTAACGTTTGGCTGTGCCTTTGCATCTGCTCTCATCAGTTGCCAGAGGAAACCTCTCTGATGACTATTGGGCCAAGTATTGCTCTATGAGTATAGCAGAATATCATTAGGAATCATTCTATTGATTTTTTCCCTAGGTCTCTTGGCTATTTAGGCCTCTTTTCTGGTCACCCAGACAGTATCAGACATGGGCTCCCTTTTGTGGTGTGGGCCTCAAATTAGAGCAGCCATGTTTTGGCCACTCCTGTAAGCTCCTCTGTTGCCCACATCCTGTCTTGCGGGCAGGATAGATCGTAGGTTGAGGATTGTGTGGCTGGGTTGGGTCCCAGCCTGACCACTGGAAGTTGCCTGGACACAGAGGATGGCCGGTTCAGTCTCTGCATCCTCCATGACTAGGAGTCCTCATGGGGGTCACTCTTGTAGAGTCCTGGGAGTTTCCACTGCACTAGGTTTCCACATCACCCCCCAAAGCCCCCAATTCCAGTCGTCTCTCCCTCCATTCCTTCACCCACTCCCAATCTTTTCTGTTCCAATTTCCACCTGCCCCCATGCCACCAGCAAAATCTATTGTATTTGCTCTTCCTGGGGCGATCCATACATGCCCTTAGAGCCCTCCTTGTTCCTTAGCCTCTCTGGGTCTTTGGATTGCAGCATGATTATAATTTGCTTAACAGCTAGGATCTTCTTATAAAAGAGCACATTCCATGGTTATCTTTCTGAGTCTAGAAGAGCTCACTCAGGATGATTCCCCCCCCCCAACTTCCATCCATTTGCTTGAAAATTTCATGATGTCATTTTGTAAGAGCTGCATAATAACTACATTGTGTAAACATACCACATTTTCTTATTCATTCTTTGGTTGGGAGACATCTAGGTTGTCTCCAGTTTCTAGCTTTTCTGAATGAACTCGCTATAAACATAGTTGAGCAAGTGTCTTTGTAATAGGATGGAATATTCTTTGGGTATATGCCCACGAGCACTAAAGATGGGTCTTGGGGTAGATCAAATCCCAGATTTCTGAGGAACTGCCATATTGATTTCCATAGTGGTTGTACAAGTTTGAACTCCCACCAGCAATTGGAGGAGTGTTCTCTTTGCTCCATATCCTTGTCAGCATGAGCTGACATTTGTGTTCATTTTTGGCCTTCCTGCTCAGATGGATGGAAAGGTACACTGGGACTTAGGAGCCCAGGAACCACATAGCTCTGAGGTGGGACCATGTCCCAATGGAAGGGCGTCCTGAGACTTGGGAGACACCACCCAGCTCTGAGGGGAAGCCTCCTCAGCAGAGGCATTGCAGCTCCCAGGGGAGGGTATCCCTAGCTAAGCTGAGGAGCTCAAAAGCCTCAGTCCTGCTCTACGTCCTTCTTTCCTTCTTCACTTCATTGTTCTCGGCTTCTTTCTATAAGAGTCATATTAAGCAGTAGATCTCATAAAAGAGATTTATTGGAAGGGACAAATCCAGAGTTGACTGCCTTTGCTCCAGGGAGAGGACAGCAGAGAACTGAGCAGATGTTGACTTTATAAAGTTTCTTTGGGGGTGGGTGTTTCCAGCGCAGAGATTTCCAGGTGAGGATTGGTAGGGTTTCAAGTCCTGAGCTTAGGAGAGCTCGGGGATTGGTAGGCTTTCATATTCGGGGATTGGTGGGTTTTTGTGCTCAGGGATTGGTGGCTTCTTGTTCAAACTTTTCATCTATAATTAGCATAATCTGGAAAGGGTCCTTTGAGGGTCTGGAGATGACATTTGTGACAATTACAGAGGCTGGAAACGCTGTCATGATAGTTAGAGAGGTCTGGGGAAGGGGCCTATCGATTCATGCCTCAAGGGATTCACACAGACCTAAACTCTGATGTAGAGCAAAACAACTTTCCTCAAATAAACTGTTGGACACATCTCCCTCCCTGAGTTCCCCGTCAGCAGCAGCCTGAACTGAGGCTTTCAGGCACCCCTGTCTCCTCCGTGGCTTCAGCTTCTCAGTTTCTCCAGCAGCTGATCTCAGGTCCCAGGGCTGTGGAGATTTAGCCTCAGCCACTCTGCAGTCTTGAGGCATTGCTGTCTGGAGGTGTAGAGAGCCAGCAGCACAGTCTGAAGATCCAAGAACCCCACTCAGGGACCACAAGCCAAACGTGGTGTGAGGACTCCAGAAGAGGGGTCACCTGGGGAAAGCTGTAGGGGAGCCCAGGGACAAAACTTAAAGAGCCTGGCCTGGCACAGTGTGGCACAGCCTGGCGCTCTGTTGTCATGTGGTATGGTGTCAGTGCTTGGAGCCATGGCCAGATCCAATTAGGTCCACTGGGTGGCTGGAGCTGAGGTTGACAGGTGTGAGGAGGCCCTGCATTATTGATCTTAGCCATTCTGTCAGGTCTAAGACCTTGGATATTTTAAAGAGGCTTTAGATATTTTAAAGAAGATTTGAACTTTTAAAGAGACTTTGGACATTTTAAAGAGACTAAACCTTTAAGGTGAATTTTAAGGGTGGCAGGATGTTTGAAGATATGCTGTCTTATACTGTGATACTAACATTGACGTGCTATCCTGGGTACAAATGACGAAGGAAAGGTTTCAGTTGAGCAGTGATGTGTTTGTGTGTCAAGTTGACAACAGGTCAGTTGTGTTGGCTAGGTGTGTGTGTGTGTGTGTGTGTGTGTGTGTGTTTCCCCATCTGAAAAAAGGGAATCTTAATTGAGAAATGCCTCCATAAGACTGGACTGTAGGTAAATCTGTAGGGCATTTTCTTGGTGATGAAGGTGGAAGGGCATGCCTTAGTGTGGGTGGTGCCATCCTTGGGTAAGTAGTCCTGAATCCTATGAGCAGGCTGAGCAAGCCACGGGGAACAAGCCAGTAAGCAGTGTTCTCCAAGGCTTCTGCCTAAGCTGTTGCCTCCAGGTTCCTGCCTTGGGTTTCTTCTCTCAGCGATGGACTATGGCATGGAATGGAAGGCTGAAATAAACCTTTTTCTCCCCAAGGATTTTTGGCCTTTGTTTTTTTTTTAATCACACAATGAAAACCCTAAGAAACTCAAGTAACCTGGACGATCTTGGTGCTGGGGGTGAGCAACATGATTTGTTGTCACGCCATCAAACCTGGGGACGGAGGTTGGCATAGTGAGCCCTATGCAAGCAGTATTCAAGAATTTTGCACAAAGCAGAGCTTTTCCAGATTCGGCAGGCGACATGTCTCATGAACGCCACTAGAGGGCACTGTGGACTCACACTGGGAACCTCGTTCTAGGCAGGTTGGGAAACATAGTTGATTTCCTGGTTGTGACCCGGGCTCCCTACACATACTTAGCTGATGGGCAGCTTGGTCTTCATGTCAGTCCCCTAGCAAGTGGAGTGGGGGCAACATGGTCTCTGTTGCCTGCTTTTGGATCACTTACCCCTAGCTGGGCTGCCTTCACGGTAGTCAGTGGAAGAGCATGCGTCAGGGCATGTTAGGGTGGTGGTGGTGGGGCTCCCCTTTTCTGAAAAGGAGAGGAGAGGGTGGGACAGGGAAAAGAAAAGGGAAGGGGCTGTGATAGGTATGCAAAGTGAATAAATAAACAAGTTATAAAAAATAAGTAAATGAAAATAAAAACCCTGATAATCACAGGGGAAGCGTCTCAGTCCTTAAACTGCTTGGCTTCTGAGCACGGGATCCTTCTGGCCAAACAGCCTCAACTAACTGGTGAATTCCAGGCCAATGGAATTCCAGGCCTTTCCCTTCCCCCAAATGTGGACAGTCAGCTGCTTGGTGGTGTTGCAAGCTTTGCGCTCAGGAGGCAGAGGTAGGCAGATCTCTGAGTTGGATGACAGCTTGGTTTACAAAACAAATTCCAGGGCAGCCAAGGCTACACAGAGAAAAACCAGAAACAAAACAAAACAAAACAAAAATAACAAAAGTGAATAGAACTTAAGGAAACATACCAGGTTGTCTTCTGGGCTACACACACACACACAAACACACACACACACACACACACACACACACACACACACACAGAGCATGGCTGCTTTCTAATTAGTCAGTCTTAGTTTTTATTATAAGAACCTAAATTTCCCAAAAAGTTCAGAGGATTGCAGAGAGGAACTCCTGAGTCATAGAAACCATGTATGTTCTAGAAATTCGTGCTAACGTGGGGCTATGCAGTCCTGGGCTTGCCTGGGGCAGGCGCAAACTGACTGACCTATCACTGAGAAACACCAGAAATGAATGGCTGGGTCCAGTTGGCACCTAATGAGCAGAGCCCGGGGTTGCTGTCCATTGTCCTGCAATGTACAGGACAGCCTGGGTCCCCACGTGCTTGCAACAGCAACAACTCCTGGGGTAGGGTCCTCTATCCAGGCAATCTTGAAGCTGTGTTTCCACTGAGTGACAGTTCTAATCTCAAATGCACCAATGTGTGCCCCCCCAAACCTTCCGGCTCCACATGGGTCTGGGTCTGTCGGAAGATACTTCATTTTTGGCATCCGCAGCTTTCATACCTGAGCGAAGAATGGTCATCTCCAAAATGTTGACGGTGATGACTGGAGATGGAAGAGATTGCCCCCTGGATGGGAAGGGCCCCTGGCCTGCGAGGCAAGTGTGGCTGGTTTGAAACTTCCTCACCATCCCTCAGGAGGAGCAGGTGACCTGTTGGCTTCTCCTCGGGAGAGGGACTGCTAGCTGGTGGAAAGTGTCCCTTCATCAGTGAAGGGTAAAGGTAGGGACTGCCTCCTTCTCTGTCTTCCATGCCCATGGGGGAGCTCTTGTGATACATGACAGGCATGTGTGGTCCCATGCTGCAAGTGGTTTAGAACTGACCCGTGCGTTTGGAAGTCTATGGCTGTGCCAAAAACATTGTTTCTGAGGCTCAGACATCTTTGGGTGACCAGGCCCCAGGGCTACCTGAGCAAAAAGATAGAAAGACCAAGGCCAAAAGTCGGTCCTGGTTGGGACACCAGGGGCAGGAGATGGCTGTGGCATAATGGAGGCGACACAGTGGCTTCAGGCCCAGAAAACAACCAGCGATGCTGAGACCCTGACAGGCAGGACATCATGGAGATGCTGGGAATCGGGCACCTCCAGTCTCTACCCAGACCATTGGGCAGCACCAGGACACTGTGTGAGGCTGGAGGGCAGGAGTAGCGGGCCCTCCTAAGGGAGAAAGAGACCAGGGTGAGTGCACCAGAGTGGAGCTGAGGTGGTGTGTTCTCAAGGGCATGTCCCCCTCATCTCCAATTATCCCAGGAACTTGGTGCTACTCTCATGCCATTTTTACTTTCTAAGGCAGGTGGCATCCCCTCTCTCAAGACTCCAGCCCCTAAATCACACAGAGGAAGTGAGGTGCATGGCAGGTTCCTCTCAGCAGGGCCCCAGCTACAGATTGCTTCTCTTCTGCAGCATCTTCCTTGGGTTTTCTCCATTGCCAGCTTCACTGTCCTGCTGGCCCAGCCTTCTGCTGCTGTGGATATGGACAGGAAGTGACGTTGAGAACAGTGCACTATGGATGCAGGACCACCCATGCAGAAGAAGTGAAACTTTTTGGAGTACACAATATGTAAAAAGCAGAGAAACCACCCAGTGCCAGGGGATAATGGAGGCCCTGGCTCAGTTGACCCAGCAGCCCCAGAGCTGATCCACAAATGACAGTTCCCAGTCATGCAGACACCTCCTGTTAGGATACTTCCCTTCCCACCATTCTCAAGTTATATTCCTAGCATTTCCTGGGCCTCACATCAGCGCTCTGACAAGGCTTATTCCCAGACTCCCAGATACTTGACAGAGGTTAGGATAAAGGCAGTGGGCTGGGACCCCTCACACCTGAGTGGTCCTGTGGTGTGGTCCGCCAAGGCAGGGTGGTCATCATTGGGCAGTCCCAGGTCCTCTCTCTCTTGAGGTGGGGGCTTTTTCCTTTTGGTCCTTACTGGCTTTTCTGTTGAAGGCAGAGACCCAGTATGGCTCCATGACTTTAGATGGCGCTTCCTGCTCCCACGGCTTATAAGCAACCTTGGTGGGCAGATGGGCTTTGTAGCCACACCACTGCTAAGCAAGCTGGACATCATGAAGTGAAGTGTTTCCCACACCTCACAGCCTGCTCTTGACAGGGCTGGCACGGAACGGGGCACACCCGGTTCTCTGTTTCTGCTTTCACCCACAGCATGCAGGATACAGGAAGCAGGAGAGGCAGAGGGTACTGGCCAAAGCTCATGTGTGACAGCTGTGAATCACTTCCACCACCAGAAGACACCAGCTTGTGATGCCACTAAAGGATCTCTGCCAGGGTATGAGGGGGCATCTCCCTGTTTTACAGATGGGAGAGTAGACATGGGGATAAGATGGGCCAGGAGAGTACTGGAGCCAGGAATTGGCATGGTGGGTTGCTATAGAGCCAGGATTTCTGGAATGTCCTAAGCATGCCCAGAGAGTAGGAAAGCCCAGAGAAGCTTTGCAGGACACCCAAGACTACACAGCTGGTTAATGGTGGCTGTACCCTGGCATCCACACTTCTAAGCTAAGAGGCCCTCCTGCTGAGCACGGCTGCACAGGGACTTACCTGGCAGTCCTCGCTTGTTGGAGAATGGCTTGTTTTCAGTAAGGGGCACTCGGGCCAGTGTCGCTAGCTCTGAGATAAAGGTCTGCTCAGCTTCCTGACAGACAAATGGAAGGGAATCAGTATGCCTCTCTACCCCTCACCGCTTGTGTTCCCCGACACCGAGTTGAAGCCTTACACTGTAAAAGATGTCTGATGACCACATCTCATGTCCCAGCCTGGAAGACTTTCTAAGCAGCAGCCCCAAGTTCAGGACCAGGACAGAGGCATGGAGGAAGGAAGGTGCTCCTTTAGACACCTGGGTCACCTCTCCTAGTCTCATAACCCTGTCCACAAATGAGGACACCTTGCGGGCTCAGCCACTATGAAACAGCAGCCTTACTTCACTCCAGTGCGTGGCTGCCAAAAGACCCATAAGCCATGGTTTACTACTGTGCAACGATAGTAGCCCAAGTTTTCCTCTCTATCATAAGGATCACTTCAGCCACCACTTCAACTGCTCACACTTGATGTTGAGAGCTCTCACATTGGCTACCATCTGCAACTGACCCTTGGGAACAAAAGGCCCATCATTAACGGGATTCTTATGATTGCTGTCATTACTGCCAACCTTGGCCAGACAGACACGAAAAAGGTCAGACCACCGTCATAGGCCTTCATTCTAATTTTTCTTTTAAAATGTATTTATTTATCTATTTGTTCTTAGTAGTAGTAGTAGCAGCAGTAGCAGCAGTATGTGTGTGTGTGTGTGTGTGTGTGTGTGTGTGTGTGGTCGTGTGTGTGCACATGCACACACACACACACATCACATTGCAGCCATCATGGTGGTCAGAGGACAACTTCAGGAAATCAGCTGAAATCACCTCCTTCCACATGTGTTCTGGGGATGAGCTCAGGACCAGACTTGAGCAGCAGGTGTCTTTTATCTGCTGAGCTCTCTTGTTATGCCTTGGTTCTGCTTTAAGGCACCCTGCCAACCCCTGATATTATTTTTAAAGGCAGCTACTTTGGGGTACAGTCACACCTCATAATCCTCCAGGCTGGGACTTTTCTGTGCTAAGATGTCCACTTTGTATCCTGAGAGCTAAGCCTCTCTGAATGCTGTACATAGGCAATGAGTCTTAGTTACTGTCAGCACAACCCAAAAGGCACAGATGGCAGCCCCAACACCAGGAAGCCCTCTTGGTGGATGTAAACATAAAGTTATTATATAATTCAAAGCTGATTTCTGTATGTCCCATATCTGGTTGCAACTGTTGTTCTGAGAATCTCCCGTCTCAATGTTGTGTAAACACTGCTCTCCAAGTGTCCCCTACTATGCCAACGAAGCAGCTTACAGCCAAAAGCTAAGCATGGAAGAGAATGGTGTGGACTTCCTCCCAGCCAGAGGAGAAGCAGTAAGAGGAGGAAGGAGGGGATTCAGCCATGGGAGAGGTCTAAAAGCCACCCGGAGAAGAAGCTGGAGCAGAAAAGCCACAAAGTGCAAGTATCTCTGAGATGTAGGCTGGAAGGAAATCATATTAGTTTAGAGGGTTAAGAATTGAGTAATAACTGCTCAGTTATTATGTTATTACGTTGTGAAGCTTATTAAAAAATAAGTCTCAATTATTTATATGGTAGCTGGGTTAAGAGAAAAACTAAGAAAAGCAAACACAGTTTTATAAAAATAACATTAACAGGTGGTAGTCTGCACACAGAGAAATGTTCATTCCATTACTAACTCCAAAGCCACAGGCAGACTGCTTAGCTGTGTCCTGCATAGACCAGGACCATGTGAGACCTGGTGTCCCCAAGGGGCTCATGGTCCTTTCAAAATGTGACACAGTGTTGGCCAAGGCAACTCAAAGAGTCAAAGACACCACAGAAAAAGATAAGTAGGTAGGTGAAGAGGTCTAGAGTGGGGCACCGGGTTTTTCACAGGGCCTGGGCAGCTGGCTGTGAGCTTCGCTGTGGCCTCTTCCCTGTCACTATGCCACTGAGTCTAGTGACACATCTCCCAAACTACCTGTAGCTGATTATCAAGCTGGGCTTCCAGTTGGTCGAGCTCTTGTGCCTTCTGCCTCTGAGAGTTCAGGCGGCCCTGTTGGTGCTGTGTGAACTGGCCCAGGAGTTTCTTCTGCTGTGACAGCATCCTGGTGGTGAGAAGAGATGACCAATACTTTTGGAACCCTGGGCCAATAGGTCCCTACAAAACCCATCCAAAAGACTGCTGCACCATGGGCTTGTGACTCTTAGTTGCACTTGAGTTCTGGAGCATGAGGAGAAGCCAGGAAAACATGTGCATGACAAACTGCAGTCACATTCTTTCAACAGTCCAGCTCTGATCCTGAGGCTGCATGGCCATAAAGCATGGGGAAGTTTAAGAAAGCCTGCATGCACACTGACTTAGATTCTTAGGAAATCCTGGGGACATCAGCAGCATGCAAGCAAAGTCAGGACGCTGCTAGGTAGGGACATATTCTGCACTGCCATCATCTCATCCCCAATGTGACGCTGCCTCTACTGTTCTCAATGGTAGATGCTCTGTCTCAGCCTGAGCCTTCCTGCAATTGGAGGTGCCATTTCCCAACACAGCAGCACATGCTTTACCCCTGAGACTCCCTTCAGGACAGACAAGAAGTGTCCCAGGCAGGGGTTGAGGCCAGGCAAACAGTAGGTGCTCCTGGGGCTACTTCAGCTCTTACTCAGCCCACCTGGAGCTAGTGGACATTTGTCCTCAGTAAACTGGGGAAACTGCAAGAGTGCAACTTAGTGGCCATTTGATTCCAGCCCTGTGTGGCTAGGAGGAGCCAGACAAGCTGATCCAACTCTGACCCTCTGGTCTGTGAGGTAACGGATGAATGAGGCAAGGGTTGCTGAGCCAATGGAAGCTGTGATGGACTTTGGCATGAAACACACCTTTGCCTTCCACACCTCCTGCCCCTTCACCTTCACTTCCTAGGTTAAGAACATATAACCAGGGCTGGGGAGATGGCTCGGTTATTAAGTCCCTGCCTTGCAAGAATTAAGAACTTGACTTTGAGCCTCAAAATCCATTAAAAAAAAGCTGAGTGTGGTGGGGTATGCTTATAAGCCCAGTGCTAGGGAGGAGACAGGGCTCTCTGGCCAGCCAGCCTTGCTTGCTGGGCAGGTTCCAGGCCAGGGAGACAATGTTAAAAATCAAGGTAGATGGTGCCTGAGGAACAACAGTTCAGGTTATTCCCGGGCTACAACACCTGCACCTACATAAACACACATTCATACACACACACACACAGGCTCCTCACTAGTCTTCATGCACATTCTCACCTTGAGTGTGAATTCTGCGGAGCCCAAGGTATGAGTGAGAGAGGCTTCAGAAATGGCTATGAGGGAGGCAACACACACATCAACAGGCAAACCGGGCAAGATCCCAAGCCCGCCACGTAGAGTGGCAAGCGTCCCATGCAGAGACCCTACAGATAACACTGAGCCCCACCTCTGCTGTACCGCTTGGGAAGCTCCTCGGGAACCATCTGCTGTTTGGCTCCCCGATGGCAGCTCACCGAATTCTTGCTTTTTCCACAGTTTGTAAGCATTGATTCTCTCACCTGGACAAACAGACACAAGGCAGTGAAGGAGTGCATTTGGAGGGTGGATTCTGATGAGTCTGGGGTGAGGCTGGAGCCCAGGGCAAGGGGTGAGCAGGACATGCCTGTTCTCATAACCTGTCACAGGCCCCAGCACTCGGGAAGGCCGGTGTAGGAGAACGTCATGGCAGCTTTGGCACAGGAGAACTGCCATGGCCCCCCCTCTAGCTCTCTGTCAGGAGTGAGGAGAAGGAACAAGCAAGCTTCCACAATCAGAGCTGCCAGAGTCAGCGTCACACAGCAGGGAGAGGGGCTGGGTAGACTGAGTTTCAGCTTTGCTGGGACTTGGGATGCCAGCGTGAGCACTCTTAGAGGAGCAGGCCTTGATCTCACACCCACTGCCACAGCTCCTTCTTATTTGCAGTTAGTTACCTGTTCAGAAAACTTGAATTATTATTATTGTTATTATCATTATTATTTGTTTTTTGAGACAGGGTTTCTCTCTGTAGCCTCCGATGTCCTGTGCTTGCTTTTTGTACCAGGCTGGCCATGAACTCACAGAGATCTGCCTGCCCCCACCTGTCTGAGTGCTGGGATTACAGGCATGTGCCAGTGTGCCTGACTTTATTATTTTTAAGTAAAGTGATACGCTGCCCCAGCTGAGAGTGCTGGCTGTTGCATAATTACCATGGTGCTACCTTGACCCTAGGGATCCTAGCTGGACTACAGATGGCAGGCAACACTCTGGAAAGTGTCTTTCTAACAAATAACTCAACACCCACTCTTACTAACAGTTACTGCATCTCTTTGGCCACCACGAAGCTCAAAGATGGAATGACTTCCATTTCCCAGCAGGCCCTACAAACATTCATCCTGGATGCTTCTCATAAACCACCTAGATTTACTGTATTGTATACACATGGCCTTTGGGCACCCTTTACAGGGGCTTATGAGTCGAAGAGGAAACACACACACACACACACACACACACACACACACACACACACAGACTCCACTCTTGCAAGGCCATCGCTGGCTTCTAGATGGGGAAGCTCCTACCCTGCAGGGTCTTGAGGCGCTGCAGCAGCTGTTCCTTGTGGGTCTGCAGGAGCTTCCCGATGCCCTGGTAATGCGCCTCCACGAGGCGGCTGACACCGGTGCTGGTCACGTACACACTCTCCACCACCGTCTCCACCAGCGTCCTCTGTGAAGCAGAGACAGGGACATCTGAAAGGTCGTGGGGGGAGCCACCTGCGCTGCATTGTGTTTCCCACCAGCTCTCAACCTGGACTGACTAGGACTCATGCAGGGTGGGTTTGGCTGTTTAAGCTGCTCATGATACTCTTACTTCCTGTGGCAAGGGTGGTCAAGACTGTGGTTTTAATCTAGTTCTGGCCAATGCTGTGTGACGTTAAAGAAGCTTGCTGTGGGCAGAGAATTTCCTTCAGGAAGAGCAGCATAAAGCCTTGAAGGGTGAGAGACACCATCGCTTCCCTCCTGCTGCCAGGCCGTACACAGCTGTGCTTCCTAGGTCACAGACACTATGGCCCTCTGCCTCAGTTGGACTCTTTCCTGCCTCATGAATCCAGGGAGCAACTAAGAAGCTGTAGGAGACTGGAGATGAGCTGAGACCTAGTTCCAGCTTAATTTCTGCTGCTCACTACCTGCCAGGCTTTCAGTGTGTCTTTTGTAGAATGAGAAGCCTCAGTTTCCACATCTGTACAATGGGAAGGAGGATCCTTACCCAGCCTGGGCTGTAGGGAATCTGAGGAGGTAGGATGGAGAAGGCACCCAGACATTGTACAACACTCACATGGCCACTATCGCCATTTTGACCACTGTCATTTAGCCCTGGCAACAGAAACAGCAAGCCACTGTCCACTTATCCAAGTTGAGTTCTATGGATCACGGGCCACCAGGATCTGTCTGCAAAGCCTCAGGGAAAGCCACCTTTTTTCAGTTTGGATCTGGTTTTGCTGTTCTGGGGTCAATGGAGAGGGAAGCCAGGTGTGCCCCGGGCTGATACTGAGCTGCAGAGCTGAATCCAGGGGCTCTGTGTGTGGGCTAGGTGATTCTTGGCTGGTAAGCCAGGCACACGCTGTAGGCTGGAAGCTCAAAGAGGGGCAGGAAAAGCGCTGTTCTTCCTGGCCCTCCTTGTTGAGAGGCAGCCTGGTGCTCACCTTGAAGTCTTCCTTGTCCCTGGTTCTGACCTTGCTGGCCACATTCCGGGCATGCAGCAGCAGCGCCTGCCCGATGGCTCTCTCTGAGTGCAGCTGTAGCAGCTGCCCTGCCTCCTGTGCCTCTGCCAGCAGCTGCTGCTGGAGCCGCAGGCCGGTCTGCTGAGCCTCATCCTCCAGCCTGGCAGACTCCTCCAGGATCCGCGCCTCCTACAAGGGAAGACAGGCTCCCACCTCATCAAAATGGCTGGCCCTTGTGCTGGCCTGAGGGCTGGAGGAGATGAATGAAGGGGTGGGCAGATTCTAGACTTGAAATGCTAACCATAAGGATGAGCCTGGGTGTCTGTGGATAGTTCCCTCCCTCATCCAAAGACATTTATTGAGCCTCAACTGTGTGCTCAGTGAGATCCAGGGCCCCTCACAAAATGAGGAGATTGTTCATCCTTCTCGAACACTGTGAAGCCTGAATACTAAGACTGGCAAGGTCTGAGGGGCTCAGAGAAGTTGAGTGGCTTTCTAAAAGACACAGCAGAGCCAGCTTGAGATAGGATTCAGCTTTGGGAACATCACAGAAACTGTGGCAGGACACATGGGACTAGGGGCTGCACCTGCTTAGGATGGAGAGATGGGGGGGGTTGGGAACTGGAACTAGAGAAGTAACCAGCTTGCTACCTTTGAGCCTCCAAGGAAGAGCAAGAAGCTGAGCAGGACAAAAGCCATCACAGCTTCTATGGCTTAGAAGCTCCACACAGGAGACCTGGGGAAGCAGGTAGGGGTTCAAACCCCGGCTCTGCTGCTTGCCAATTATTTCAGTCTGCTCAGATCTTCACAGAGCAGGAAAGGCCTCTTTCTGGTACCTATGTGGGGGATGCCCCACCTTCCCTGAGACTTCACTTAGATTCCTGGGATAATTCTTTCCATGTCGCCTTCACTAGAATCCCTCAGATTCACCCTTGTCTCCCCTTTTATGAGCTGGATGTGTTCCCTCCAACGTACATGTTTAATTCCTAATCATAGGAGTTCAATGTTGAAGGGCATGGACCTGGGACAGCGGGTGATGAGTGTAGAAGGCTGCGAGCTTGAATCCCTCCAGGGTACCTGAAGTCCTCCTAAGAGGAGGGCAGAATCTCTCAATACATACAGAAAGATGACAACTGTGAGGACACAAAGTAGATGGGTGTGTAAGCCAAGGAGAAAAGTCTGGGGAGAGACCTGCTGTCTGCTATCTTGACCTCAGCCCTTGGGTCCCTATCCTGGGAGGCCGTTAGGTCCCTTGAGTCAAGTCCCAACCTGTGGTTTTTGTCACACTGCCCTAGGGGTGTCAGAATCCTAATGTGAGAAGCAGGCTAACAGGGGTGTAGTGGAGCCCTTCCGGGCAGGGCTGCGGTGTGTGGGACAGTGGACCCTGTGTTCTCACCAGGGCGTTAAGTAGCTGCCATTGATGCTCCTCCAGGCACGGGGAGGCACCCTGCTCTAGAGCCAGCTGCTCACGCAGCTCCTGCAGGAGCCTCTTCTTCCCAGACAGCCTCATCTGTGCCAGGGCAGTGATGGTGGTGCCTCGGAGGGCCAGTCTGCGCAGGGCAGAGCACAGCAGCAGCTCGTGGCCCTGAAGGATGCCTCGTGTGGACCTATGGGAGAAAGCAAGCCTGGTCAGAGCTCTCGGATGCTCTGAACCAGGGAGGCTCTCTCTGAGGAGCCACACCCATAGGAGGAATGGGAGTCAACCATTGCCCTGCCTGGTGACATCCATTCATGACCTTCCCAAGTTCAAAGGTACATGCAATGGCTATGGTACAGGCCCAATTCCATTTCATACACTCCATTTCAAACACATCTAAAGCCAAAACAAGCACTCGAGTTCCCACACCAGTGGGTCAAGCAACCCAAGGCCAGGCAAAGGGTTATGCTTTCTTCATAATGTACAGTGCTGCTGAGAGTATGGGAAGCTGGACAGAACCTTGGTAGCCAATGGCTGATAAAAGGCAGGCTCGGGACACTTCATGGCTTTCTGCTGAGGCCCTCAGCCTGGAGATGCGCTCACCCCTCACAAAGTGTTGCCATGGAGTCGGTTGGACCTAAAGTCCTTACAAGTCCTCTGTGGAGTTTCTTCCCCTAAAAGCTGGATCCCATCTCCTCACTCATTCCACAAGTATCCAGTGGTCAATAAAAATAACACAGCCATACAGACATAAAAAATGAACCAAAAAGGTAGAAGATTAGACAACAGAAGAGCTACAAGGTAGCATACTGGACCGAAAGAATGGAACGGTACAGAATTATGTATGGGCTGTGCTGGAATAGTCTAGTACGTATACAGTTGAATCCCAAGAGAAAGAGAGAAGACTGATTTATATTATATATAAATGGACCAAACTCTAGTACAACGCAGGAAAGAGGCTCCAGGCTACCTGAAGCTCTGTGAGCTGGCAATGCTCACTGGGTCACTCTGGTCCACCATGCTTATCTTCCCTGCTTCTGATCTTTCACTTGTATCATCCATTACAACAGCCACACTCCTGCTGAAATCCACAAAAGCCACAAGGCTCTTCTGCCACAGCTGCCCATTTCCTGTATCAAACACAGCCAAAGCCACATACCTGCTCCTGGTCCATCCACCACAACAGCCACACACCTGCAGCCAACCAGCCCATTGCTTGCCGTTACCACCTCTGCACAGGCACACTCCTGTCCTGCTTCTGTGCCTCTACCACAGCCATATACTTGATACCTACATGTATACGGGTCTTGGGAAAAGATAGATAATTAAAAGAAAATCTGTCATTTTTCTCCTGGAAAACAAGGAGAAATATTTTCACTAAACAGAAAAAGAAAAAACCCACTGCATGAACAGCAAAAATGTGGAAACAGAGTATACATTTGATGGATAAGGAGAAAGTGACTGTAAATGTGCAAAGACCTCTGTGATGACAGAAACTTCCAACATCTGGACTGTATGCAGTAACGGAAGTAAAACTGCAAATTTACCAACCATCTGGAACTGTAGCCAAAACCAAGGTGTATAAATTTACCTTACGAGAGCTTTCCCAAAACATCCCTACCAAGCAGAATGCTGTGAAACAGGTTTTATTAGCCCGGCTTTCCAGAGAAGGAAACTGTGAAATGGTACATCCTTATTATCAGGGGAAGGCAGGGACAGCCAATGTGTCCACCTTGTAGGTTAGCACACTGGAGTTAGCCTGGAGTCTCACGCAGACAGAGCCCATCCCTCAGAGCTCATACTCACTCTTCAGAGAGGCCACTGAATCGGCTCAGGACCCCGTGGATGGTGCTCTCGTGGTGCTCCCGCAGTTGCCTCTGCAGCGCCATAGACAATGCACACTCCTCCAGCCACACCTATGCTCGGAGGGACAGAGATGCGTGAAGCCGCTGCACTCACTCCATCGACCCTCCTTACCTACCCACCCCAGCATATCAAGTCACATCAGGACTGAGGGCATCTTCTTCCCCTGTGGTTTGGCAAGGTAGCCTTACCAGGGGAAAACAGAATCCAGGTCAGAGTCAGCCCCCATTCCCCTTACTTGGGAACCTATATGAGAACCAAGCTGCACATCAGCTACATCTGTGTAGGGGCCCTAGGTCCAGTCCATGCTTGGTCCTTGGGTGGCACTTCAATCTCTACAGGCCCCCATAAGCCATGGTTTGTTGGTTCTTTTGGTCTTGTAGAGCTCCTGTCCCCTCTGAGTCTTTTTAGCCTTCCCCGGACTCTTCCACAAGACTCCCCGTACTCCACCCAATGTTTGGCTGTGGGTCTCTGCATCTGTTTCCATCAGCTGCTGGATGGAGCCACTCAGAGGACAGCTATGCTAGGTTCCTGTCTGTGAGCACAGCAGAGTATCGTTCATAGTGTCAGGGGTTGGCTGTCTCCCATGGGGTGGGTTTCAGGTTGGGAGAGGCATTGGTTGGACCTTTCCTCAATGTCTCCTTTCTTTTTCTCCCTGCACATCTTGCAGGCAGGGTAAATTTTGGGTCAAAGTTTTTGTGGATGGGTTGGTGTTCCTCTCCCTCCACTAGAAGTCCTATCTAGTTTGAGGGTGGCCTCATTAGCATCCATGACTCCTGAAACTAGGAGTCTCAGCGAGAGTCACCCTCATATCTTCTCAGGAGCCTACCCTGTTGTAGGTCTCCAGTTTGTCGCAGAGAAGGCCCTGACTAAGGCTTCTCTTCTCTCTGCAAGCCCTCTGTCCTCCTACCTCCACTCTTCCCAGGTCTGATGAGACTTCGGGTCTTAACAGAGGCCCTTGTAGCTCAGATTTCCATTCCCACCCATGATTCTTTGCCTGTTCCAGCTTCCAGGGGTTGCTTTTCGCTCAGGCTTGCCAGCCCACCTTTCCAACCTCTGCTTACACTGCCCACCACCCTCTTTTGACACCAACCCTCCTGCCTCTCTCCCAGCCCTTCCTTCCTGTTTCTGCAGCCACAGCTCCGTCTCATCTGTTCCCTGCTTCACTGCCTTTTGCCTTGTAACTTCCTGGGTGAACTTTCGAGTGTTGTGCTCACACCCTGGCCCTCCCTCCATGACTGTTAGGGAAGCTCAGTAACCACGACTTTCCTTGGGGCACTGGGTATCACTCCAGGGCCTTGAACATGTTCAGCGTGCACTCGGACACTGAGTGCATTTCTGGATGTTTGCAGCCACATCTGTGTAGTGTCCCTAAGAGGCCCTTGGGGATGCCCAGCACCTGAAATCTCTCCATACCACCCTAAATCTCAAATGCAAAGCCCAGCCCGGGTCCCAGGAGACATACTCGCCTGTCCTGCTCCAACAGGTCACACAGGAGTCCCCACTGCTGTCTGCGGAATCGGTCTGCCTGTCCCAGCTGTCTCGCTGCCTGCTCCTGGACCTGTTGCCGCAGGGCCTCACATTCTGCCACAGGGAGGCCGCTCACTTCTGGGAGAGTCTTCAGGAACAGGGTGTCCACAAACTTTTGGAAAGTTTCCATGGTGCCACAGTACAGCTCCTGAAAGGAGAACCATGCTGGGGTCTTGGGTTGGTTCCACATCCCACCCTGCTGGGGTCTGAACTTCTGGAATTGAAAAAGAGCACACGGGGTACAAGCAAGACGGACAATAGGAACAAAGCACACATACAGAGCTGTTACCACAGCAAGCGCACTGTGCATATTCCAGACTATAAGGGACGGACCTTAAGTTGAGGCAGCTGCTCTGCTCATGGTGTTTTAAGCAAAGAGCTGCAATGGTCAATAGCATTGTTTACTTTAAAAATAACCAACTAGGTGTTTTAGAATTCAAAAGTTTAAGGAACTCGAGGTACTATTTTTTTAATTACAGTCATTTTGAAGCAGATGAAGAGAGAATCAATGCACTGGAAGGTAAATCAAAAGAAACCCTGAACAAATCAAGGGGACACTGGAAAGGATGAAGGCATCAGAGAGACTAGGAGGTCCAACAGGGGTCACTGCTGTCCTCAAGGAAGAAGAGGCAGGAGTGTTGAAATAAAAGCACTAGTTGGAGAACTAACCAAATTTCCCAAAACTAATAACAGAATTTTACAGATAAAGACACTGAGGCCGCAACTGATGACACCTATTCAACCCTGGTCAACTCCAGTCCGGATGGCTGTGTTTCCTGTCTTTGCACATTCTTTTTGACTCTCCAGTCTGGAATGCTGACTTCTAGTCTCAGGGACACTTCTTCCAGATGGCTGTCTTTGAGTTCACCTTCACCCGCATGGGACCCTCGGTCTCTTCTCTGTGCTGATACGTAAGGGCTTGGTGATAGCGTCAATGTGGATTGGGATATACCCAGTTCCAGCTGCTGTCCTAAGGTCTCCTAAGCATGGAGTTGTCACAGTGCCAGTGTGAAGGAAGACTGATGCCACATTACATAGGGAAAGAAACAAGGCCAGAGGGACCACGTCATGGTCGCATGGCCATATGGTGAGGCAGAGCTTGATGCTGAGCTGGGCACCCGAGACCTCTCCCAACAGCGCTGCCTAACTCTTAGTTGTATGTTATATCCTTTCTCACCAGCATCTTCCTTTCCCCCATTTCCATCTCCCAGCCTATGCTGCTCACTAGCATGCCCCAGGGGCCCTGCTCCTGGGGTTCCTTATGCTCTTCATCCTGTCTCCTCAAAGCCAGCTGTGAGGAAGGCAGGCATCTCTAACTTGCCTGTGTACAGACTCAGAAGTGGCTCTCCCAGTATCCAGAATGGGCACAATGAAACCCATGGGAGAAAAGTGGTCTTTGGGTCCTTTAGGCAACAAGTACAATGCCATGTGACCCTTCCTCCTTTGTCCCAGCCTGGATGGCAGGAGGATCAAAAGGTTCTCTCACACATGCAGAGCAGAAGGTCATTCTGTTGTCTGGCTAAGCCGCTGTAATACTGCCAATCTGACAGACTTGGAATCACAGGAGACACACCTATATGTGAGTCTGTGAAGTTTAGATGTTTAACCTAGGGGGAAATCATTCACCCCGGGTATGAGCAGTCTCATTCCATGAGCACAGATCCCAGATTAAATAACAGGAGGCAAGCTGAGCGCCAGCATGCGTGTTTCCATGTGACCAGCTGCCTTTTGCTGCCGACACCATGCCTTCTCTGCCATGATGGCCTGAGAGCCAGGTAATAATTTGTTACAGCAAAAAGCAACACAATCACATACCTGGCAGAGTGCAGCCATGGCCTCAGTGATCCTGATGTCCTCCTCCTCCTCCTGGTTACTCCATGCCAGCCGCTGCCTCTCCAGGACCTCATGAAAAGCCTGTCATTAAAACAGGAACTGAGTCCAGTAGAAAATTGCACTCCTTGGTTTTTCTGGAAAATTCTCCCCAGATGACTGACTGTCATCTCAGATGGAAGAAATATTCACACCTATGTAATTATGAGGAAACTGAGGCATGGAGCCACCATATGACTTCAATGGCTTGTAAAATGTGGTTGAGGCCAGGACTTCAAATCCCAACTGTGCTTCTGTTTAACTGATGTGAGGCGTGTCCACAGGGCCACCCTTGTTACTTGTCTGTCCTTGTTGTCTGTCCTATGCTCAGACAACAACCTCTCTGACTTCCTCTGCTAGTGACTGCCATATCCAGGGGGACCTACCTGGGGAACCCGGGATAAAGCAGAAAGGTGATTAGAAGCCTTCTTCCTCTGACTCAAGTCAATCTTCTCACATAGAGTAAGCCCCACCTATTTAGAGTATATTCCTGACTCCTAGTTAGGGCTCACAGAGAGGAAAGTGTAGCAGGCCTGACTGAGTCTGTTCTGTGCTGAAGGTGTGGCCTCACTTTACCACGGCGCTGCTCTTCACTGCACCGTCCCCACAGCCCCGTGCCTGTACTGTGAACTCTGCCTTTCCCATTGGTTCCCAGCTGTTCATTTTCTTTCCAGAAAGTTGGCATCTTACTTCCTGCCCTCCCGTAGGCCTCTCCTCTTCCTATTGAGAGACAGGGCATTTTCTAGTGGAGGTCACCTCCCTGGTCCCAACCACTGCCCTGGCCAAAGCTGTGCCTTGCTTCACTCCCATGGCTGAGGGACTGTTCTGAGAAAGTCTTGGGTCTTACACTCTGTGTGTCACAAGTCAGCATTTGGCTATACCTGATAAAGATTCCCCATCCCAGCAGCCCAGTTTTAGATGTTTGTCACTGGCCCATGAAAGAGGAACAAAGAGACAAAGGGACATGGCTACAGTCACATGCCTAGCACAGGGAGGAAAGAGTTGAAGTCATGTCTGTTGGCAGCCTAAACCCTGACTAGGATCAACCTGCAAGGGACAAACACTAGGGGTGGGGTAAGGACAGAGTCACCTTGAGGAACTCCTCCAGGTCTGGGGTCAGCTGGGAATCAGCCAGGAAACTTCTCTGTTTTTCTTCCTGGGCCTGTGTGAGCTCTGCCCTCGTCTCCACCTGGCGAGCCAAAGATGTCTGGACCAGGTCTTTGCCCCGCTGCATGAATTCTGGGATTGAAAAGAACCACAGAGCAGGAGGTGACTCTTCAGAAGACTCACTTAAGAAGCGTTCCTGTGACCTACCAGGCAGCCCCTTTTCGGCAGGTGACAGACCTGTTTCCCTTTGCAGGTCTCACCGACAGTGACCTCATGGATCTTGAACTCTCCCTGACCTACCTCCTGGTAGCCCTGTGGGCAGAAGCAGACTTGGGAACTTGTGTAGCTTCCCTCCATCCTTGCTGGCCTGACTCACCTTCACTAGCCCTTCAGCTGAGCCAGGCTGGGGCTGCGTGTGGGTAGCTGGATTGCCCCTGAGCATTTCTATGTCCATTCTGTTTGATGACCTCTCCCTTCCTCTGCTCCTTTGAAATTACAGGTGGTCCTGCATTGACACTGGGGTCTTGTCAGCCCAAGTCACTGAGAATAGAAGATGATCCTGATCTCACATAGACTCTGATCTCTCTGTGCTACAGAGGAGGATACCTAGCCTGGCATTGGATTGGCTTATTTCCGGGGCTAGAAGTGGACGTAGCCCAGGTTTAGTGTCATGGGCCATACTATTCCAGGTCCCCAACCCAGGCTCACTAGCTCACCCCTGCCAAAGCACTCTGCCTCCTCCCAGAAGGCCTTGTGCTGTTGGGTCAGAAGCTCCTCCTTCTGCCTCCCAGACAGCTGACCCTGGACAGTCAGCAGCTCCAGGCCACGGGAGATGGCAGCCAGCCGGCACTTCGTCTCCTCCTGGATCTGGGTCCTCAGGAACTCTACTAATCTTGCCATGTGAGCCCGACCCATTGCTCTCTCCAGGGCATCCTGTGGGGAGACACATGACAATGGCTGGGCATCAAGGCTCTCTGCTTTGAAAATGTGGAGGAGGCAGTGGCCTCCAATCCCACACTCCGTGCCAAGCATAGAGAACTCCCTCCCTCCCCATATGCATCTTAGGCAGGGATGGTAGGGTCCCCTTGCCCTCCATGGCATGGGATAAACCACTAGGCACTTGTCCTGTCCCCAAACGCTTCAATCACTGTCCTTTAGTGAAGCCCAGATCCTGGGGCTCGGTGTCCCACACCCTCCTGCTCCTAGCTGTCAACCTAAGCCTGACCACTAGATGGAGATCAAAGAGCAGAGTCATAAAAGCACCCCAGGAAATCGCAATGTGCAGCAAACTCTGAGAACCCAAGCTCAGCCTGGCGGTTGCGGAGCATGCCTTTAATCCCAGCACTCAGGAAGCAGAGGCAGGTGGATCTCTGTGCATTCGAGGCCAGCCTGTTCAATGGAGCAAGCTCCAGGGCAGCCAGGCCTGTTACACAGAGAAACTCTATTTCCAGAAACAACAACAACAAAAAGAGAACCTAAGCTCTGTAGGACCAGTGATCTAATCGGCACTTTGTCTATGGGATGCTGAGTGATGGATAGATGGGTAGGTATGAGAAAAAGCATATGGCTGAAGACTGGCACTCTCTTCTGACCTCCTTGGACACCATGCATGTACCTGGTATATGTACATATGCTTAGGCAAAACAGTTATGCAATAGAATAGATTTTTTTAAATGGGCAGATGATGGGTGGATGTGTGATAAATGGATGGATGATGATGGAGAGATGGGATAGATGGAGATAGATGATGGATGGATGGAAGATGGATAGGTATGTGATGGACAGATGGATGGGTGGATAATAGGTGGATTCATTGGCCTTTTCTGGGGTGCTATATCCCCTCTACAACAGGAATGTGTTTGACTTCCTGACTGTTAAGGTATTTGAATGTCTTTTCGCCCTCCTCGTGCCCTGTGTTACCAGGGCCTGCAGGTCCTGAGAGTCATGCAGCAGCCCCTCCGCAGCAATCATTCTTCCTGTCAGAGCCATCATGAGCTGCCGTGCCTTGGAGCTGGAGCATTTAAACTGGTCCATGAGAATGGGCTGGATGGTGTCCATCTGCTTCCAGAAAGCTCCCATCTGTGAAATGAGCATGAAAATCAGGTGATGAGGAAATCTTATTCAAGAAAGAGCTCTAGCCAGGGTCTGGGAATCACAGCTCATCCCTTATTCCCACCAGAGCTCAACCCTTCTGCAATTGAGGCGGGTTTACTTTGGCATTGATTGCTTTCTCTGGTAGGCACCCTCTACTCTGCCCCAGATACCATAGAGCCAGTCATATTATAGAGGTGTTTTTAGCAAATACAGGGTACTTTTGCCAATAAGGAAGTTATGAGCCCTGCCTAAGCACTCCAGATAGGCAACAATTACTCCTTGGGAGCATGAGAAATGAGATAATAAGAACCTGTGAGTTTCAGGATCTCTCAAAAGAATTAAATGTGGCTTAAAAAATGAAAACTCAGGAGGCCACTAACTATTAGTTATTGTCTAAGAAGAACAAAAGAACCAAATGGCAGAGAAGATGCTGGCTGTGAAATTTTTCTGATTTTGAAATCCAGCCGCCCACACCATATCAGGACCAGAGTAGGGAATAGTCAACTCATGGCTTGGGCTGCTGGGGGCTTCAACGAGTGACAACAAAGCCCATCTAGGCTTCAGCACCAGGGATGGCAGGAAATCTGGCGACTGTCTTTCTGGTGCACAGGCTGAGTGGCATCTGCATGTCTTGCTTGCTTATTTCTGGATAGAACACGCCCTGAGGCATAGCAGCAGGACTAGGAGAAACCCAGATGTCCCAGAATGTGAATGGCATTGGCTGTATTTGGTTCAGATCCCTTTAGGTCCACACTGGTCCTGAATGTGGGTGGCACCATCCCATGGGCTGGAGTCCCAAACTGAACAAAAAGGAGAAAGCGAGCAGAACTCCAATGTTAACTGTGGATGGAATGCAACCCTGACTCCACTCTCCTGCTGCCGTGCAATCCCCACCATGGATGCTATCCCTTTGAATTGGAAGCCGAATAAACCATTCCTCCTTTAAGGTGCTGCTTGGCAGGTATTGGTCACAGCAATGAGAAAAGTGCCTTGAATGAATATCCCCTCCCCCATAGCCTCAGGAACTTAAATGTCTCGTTCCAAGTTGGTGGCACTGTTTGGGGAGGCTTAGGAGGCGTGGCCTTATTGGAGAGAATATGTCACTGGAGGAGAGCTTTGAGAGTTTAAAGACTTGTGTCATTTCTAGTTAGCTATATCTGTTCCATGTTTGTGATGTAAGATGAGAGCCCTTGGCTTCCTGCTCTCTCAGCCATGCCTTCACTCTGCCACCATGGACTCTTAACTAACACTCTGGAACCTCAAGCCCTAATAAACCCTTCTTTCTTTAAGTTGTCTTCCTACCTCCCAGCTTTCCTTGTTTCCTGTCTGCTCATGAATGGGCCAGCATCCCTTCTGACTGGTATCTCTATGGTCCTCTAAGGATGTTTATCAGATCCTAAAGTGAAAGGAACATGTCCCTCAACCATAGCTCAGCAGCCCCTATCACCTTTCCACAGCATCACGCTAGCCAAGTGGTCTTCCTCACTCACTGTAGCTGTGCTCGAGTCTCTTGGGCAAGGCCACAGTCCAGCAAATCTGAGTAACCACTGCCGAGCATAGGAGGTGCCAAGGACACATCTACTCTCAGATCCATGGCCAGGAGGCCATGGATTCAAAAAGAGAAAGGAGTGTTCCATGGAAGTCCTCTTCTGGGGTATGAGAAGCATGTTTGTGAGGCTGAGGGTTGGAGTTGCTCCTAGATTCAGCTCTACTATGGGGTGGCAGGGACACTGAGGGCTTATAGGATTCACTGCTTTCAGTGATAGAAACAGCCAGCTAAAACTGTAAATGGATAAAAGCTTCCCCCGTGTATCTCCGTTCTCTAAGTATACCTTCCCTGCCACTGAGCTTCAGAAACTGGCTCTGCCTTGGGATGGGATGTGACACTATCACCTGCTTAATCTCGCCAATGTCACTGTTGCAGAAACCAAGCTTCCCACAGGGGAGAAAGGCTGGCACCTACATTGTCTATGAGCTGCTCCGAGAGCTCTCTCTCCTTCCTCTCCACGTCTGCCAGGGAAATGTAGCCAGGGTCACCAGTGCCCAACATTTCCGTGTTCACCAATCTGGCCTGAAGTCCCTTTTCTAATTCCTCCAAATCCTGGTGGCAGGGGGAGCGGGGAGACAAATACACAAAGAAAAACCAGTAAAACTCAAACACTAGAAGAATACATGTTCTTATATTTTTGACAAATATTTTATAAAAACATATATTAACAATAATGAGATATTCTGGACACAGTCTTAGGTTTTAACGCTGAGCTGGAGAAATGGCTCTGTGGGTGAAAGCAATTGCTGTGTAAGGCTAGACATCTGAGTTTGAGATCTAGAACCCATGTAAAGATGGGAAGAACCAGTTCCACAGAGCTGTCCTCTGACCTCCATTCATGCGCAGTGGCACATTCACCCACACCAACATGATGCATTCATACACAGGAAGTCACAATGGGTTTAAGGTGTGAGGATAAAAGCCTCTTTTACTTCATTAAACATTGGACCAACAGAATGAAAGATGATTTTCTTTTAGATCCTCCATCTTCCTGAAACTATAGTTAGTACTTTGCAAATAATGAAAATTTGCCTTTCAATCATTACAAACTCTTAGAAAAATGTGCATTCTAGGGGCTGGGCAGGAATGTTCCTTCTTCACTCACAGGGTCTCCATGGAGGAAGGATTCTACACTACACCTCAAGGAGGAAGTGGGAAGTATTTGGTGGGTTCAAGAGTGGGAAGGGAGCAGGGCAGCTTAGCTGTCCAGCTTCTTTCTCTCCGGGACACCATCTTCACGGGAAGCTATTGGTCTGGTGTGGTCTTAGCATATTGAGCAGGCGGCATAGCCTCCGTTTCTGTGAGGAGCCGGACGTGGGCCAGCATCGTCACCTTGTCTTGTGACGAGGTGGACAACTGAGTCAGTCCTGGGATTCAGTGTTAGGGAGCAAGACCCTCCAGGCTGACAGCATTTTTAGACCTGCAGCTTACTCCAAACTCGGGAAGGATCACGGGGTGCTCTTGTGGCTTCTTTAAACCACACTGTGGAGGTGAAGAATGGTTCTTGCTTCCTTCTCTGGAGCCGTATTCCCAGGTAACCAAGGAGATGTGGGGCCACCTTCTTCCAGCGTTCTAATGTTGGGACTGCTCACCCACAGACACCTCCCCCTGAGACCAGCCCATCTCTCCCTCCCCTGCTGTACTTAATGAACATGCCGAGGTTCCGGGTTGCTGGTGGTAGTAGGTGCTGGCCATTAGAGCGGGCACAATCCCAGCTTTCCTGTATGTATCTGTCCTTTCTTCATTCCCTTGCTGGCCAGTCAGGGTTCTAGGACTCAAGCTTCAGGCCACCGCAAGTGTTCTTTTTTACATATGCACATACACTTTTACAAGCCATCACACTGTGCTCAAATGTATATTATGAAAAACATTTTATGCATTAAAGAAAAATATTTTTTTATGCACAGCATATGTTAACAGTTTTATTTATTTAACTATTTTAACAGTTTACTGAGTTACCTTGAGATACAGGCTATAAAGACTTACATGCTCTTGTTTGGAAAGAATCTTCTGGTATAATTCATCATCAGGCTTCTTTTTAGGAAAAAAGTCCATGAGGCATGCTTTAAGAATCTGAATGAACATCTGTTGGCACAAGGGAAGTGACAGGAGAAATATTTGAGGAGTGCTCCACCCCCGACATAGGTCTTGCTGAAGGAAAGAACCTATATATATAAATTATATATCATGACAATGGCCTGTCCTGGGTTTTATGAAGCTTCTAAAGAATATCTCTTACCTTCCTTCCTTTCTTCCTCCCTTCTCCTCACTCTCCTGCTTTCCTCCCTTTCTTCTCTCTTTCCCGACGCCCCATCTCTATAGTATTTCCTCAATGCCTACACTGTGCAGAGCTCTTCATGACTCCCCCACCCCCCATTTTCACATGTAGACCTGCTTCCTTGTAAGAAGAATTAGAGACACCTCTACAGAACTGGGATGTGCAAAGCCCTCCCGGACTCCTGTTTCCATAGGAGATACCTCTTAAACCAAGAAGGGCCCTCCCAGAATCGGGGATCCCTAGGGAATCCCGGAGGGCACCACCTCCATCATGTCTAGTCACTGCACTGCAGGAGCTCTGTTATCCATGCATCATCAGGACACCATTGTGAGCAACATTCACACAGGGGCTGATGTCAACACGGTCTCTCTGGGGCAAATGCCCTGGCGAAGAGCCATTGGTCCTCTGGGCATCACATGCTTGGTTGTCTAAGAAGCAGTCAGTGTTTTACACTCCCTCAGTGACCTGTGCAGGATCTGGCCTCCCCACAGCCTCAGCTCGTGTGCTGTTGCTGTTAAATGTAGTTACTGGCTTAGTGTCTTTCTATCAAACAGTACTCTCTTCCCTGAGTCCTCAGCAGGTACAGCCTGAGGTCGGAGCTCATCTCTAGACAGCTCCCACCCCATTTAAATAGAAGTCTGTATCTTGCCGGTGGCACCGAGTGCAGCACCACGTCCTGTTTCCAAGTCTGTTTTCACCCAGGTCTGTGCCCGTCATACATCTGCGGCTCTGTGCACACCAAGAGTCTCCATAGTCCCATCTGGTACCCAGGTCAGGAAAAGAAAGCAAGCGACTCCACCTACCAGGTGCTTCTCTTGCCTCAGCGCTGTGTCTACCTGAAGCAGGTCTTTCAGGTGAAGGCTGCAGACACACAGGTCAATATCCGCACTGAGCCACCGGAGAGCAGCAGACAGGGGTCAAAGGTTAGCAGTGGTCATGGACTATAACCCTCTGGAATGGTAAGCTCCAATAAACTCTTTCTTCTATACGTTGCCTTGGTTTCATATATCTTATCATAACAACAGACAACTAAGACATCCAGGGATTCCTGGAACTTCAGGGCACAGAGGACAGCTGCTAACCATACCTGTCAGCAGACCACAAAGTGTGTCTGGCTCCTGCACCTCTGAGATAAGCTTCAAACCTGGCTTATCACGGACTGTGGTGTGACCTTGGCAAGTCGCTCAACCTCTCTCAGTCTCTTTTTAAAGGAGGGGAAATATTCCCTAAAGCTTGTGGATCACCAAACCTGGTCCTGGTCCCCTTTGTCATGCAACAGAGGTAGAGCAATGAAGAACAGGGACCAGGCCCTCAAGCTCCTGTTACAATTTTTGGAGGTGCTGAAAGTTCTACTCCAGGGCATTTGCTGCACTATGATTTATGGGGCTCATCAGTGGTTAAGCATGGCTCACTTGTCACTTTTCCAGGGCTCAGACCTGGCTCTGTAACCCCAATATTGACCCACACCTCGTGGCCTTCGGAGAAAGTATCTGGGCCGCAGCTCCGACACTGCACTTCTGTGTGTCCACAGCTGAGTCATTTAGCTTTTCTGGACCTATTTCCTCCTTCGTACTGTCTGATGCAGCCCTACTGTCTTGCTCCTTACCTCTCACAGGCCAGAACCTCAGGGAAGCTGCCCACCCGGAGGAAGGCGTATCGGAGGATCCTGTCATCACTGTAGGCTGAGGGCATGCTAGAGGAGGAGCTACCATCCTCCTTGCCAGCCTGGCTCAGGCTGCCCAGGCTGCTGGCTGGTGAGGCCTCTGCTGGCTGGTGGGGCAGGTGGGGCAGGATGGCGGCTGCCTGTGTCAGGTTTTCATGCAGCGAGGGGTGGGAGGATCCGTCAGCCAGAGGCTGGGGAGAGAAGGAGACCTGACTGAGCTCATAGCTTCTGTGCCAGGACCATGAGCAAAACCACACCCAAGGGACTAAATCATGGCTCATCTGTCCCTGTACTTGTCTCTAGGAGGCCAGCCCTCTGTACTAGGCTTGCACCTTGGAGCTGTCAGGATCTGTCCCCAAATACCCCTGAGCTCAGCTCTCCCATCTGCCTAGCCAATGAGGACCTCTGGAAAGCAGTCTCCCTCCCTTGCCTCTTCTGTGGCTGGCTCAGCCCCAGGAACCTCTTTGACTATTTGGGCTCAGCATCTGTCTTGATGAGGGTAATTCTTGCCACAACCTTGACGGCTCCCACCGCCCTAACTGTATCTCCTACCTAAGCCCAGTGTGTCACTGGCCATCGTCTGTTCCCTGGAACAGCTGGAAGTGCTTGGCTCTCTTGCCTTGGCTTGCCCCCTGCTGGTGAGCCTACACTGGCTGAGCTGGCCCTTGCTCCAGACCTTCTCCTCATGCCCTGCTTCTGGGCCATTCCAGATTCAGCTGCCCTGTTGCAATCTGCCTTTGCTGGGGCTTGCCTTCCTTGAGGTTTTCTGGGTTTCTGAGGTCCCAGGCCTTTTCTCTGTGCCCTGTGGCCCGACCATGGGGTGGGGTCCAGGGAACATACAGGGCCTGTGCCCTTGGGCTGCTCCACTGGCCACAGCCATATTGACATGTAAGTGTCTTTCATCTACCTGACAGCAGGGAGTTGTGTGAACTTTTCACAGTGTGCTGGAGAATAGGCCAGTCAGTCATGTAACTGGCCTGGCAGAAGTGAAGATCTCCCCCAAACCCCACTGTGTGTGTGGGGGGGGTGTTGGCCAGAGATAAAACGTGGCAGTAATTCTTAGGGTACTGTTCTGTTCACCTTCACCTTGTTTGTGAGGCAGGGTGTCTTATTAGCCTGGTTCTCATGGATTGGGTTGGACTAGTTGGATAGTGAGCCTCAGGATCTGTCTGCCTCTACTTCCCCAGTGCTAGGATTACAAGTGCCCATCACCATCTCCAGCTCTTTATACAGGGATTTTGGGGACTGAACTCAAGTCTTCATGCTTGCAAGGCACATACTAACTGAGCCCTCTCCCCAGTTTGGCTACCAGAGCATTGAAACAAACTTTTCTCCAAAAAAATATGGGGAATGGAAAAGGTTGAAGCCATCAGGGGAGGGCTGTCTCCCAGAAAGAGACATCACACAGTTCTGACACCTGTCAGACCTTGCAGAAGACAGCAAAGACGAAATGATGGGTCAGCGACGTGTGGGGCGACAGCTTGACCTAGACTGCTCAGTTATGTAAGCCTCTTGTCTTTCTTTTTGAACATAAACCTCATGTCAGGACCCTGAAGATGAATTTGCTGGGGGTGGTGTGTGTGTGTATGTGTGTGTGTTTGTGTTATGATTGGACATCTTTATTTCTCTTCCCAGTGTGAGCACACTGAATACATCCCCTTTCTCTGCTTTTCACTACTGTTGACTCTTTAACTGGCTTTCTGAAGATGCCTGTCAGGGCCAGGGCATTGACCCTAACAACTGCAGTAGCATAACCAGGTGCTGCTTATTGCAAGGCTTCCACGGGGGAGTCTGGGAACACCCTCTAGTGCAGGAAGTCGCTGACTGAGCAAACCATTGTTCTGAGTCCTTCCATACACTATCTTGCCTGAAGTCCAAACAGAGCACAGCAAGAAAGGACCACGCAGGAAAAGCCGAGTCAGAGTCAGGATGGCATCCTAGAGACTGAGAACACCAGGATGCCAGTTCTTCCCCAAACATTCTTAGCCAGGACACTGCCCACAGGACACCTCCTGGGCTCAGGTCCTCCCTCTGTTATGGCTGCTCTCTGCATAGGGACTCTAGTCAAGGAACTTTGCTTACAGTCGTGGGTGCAAGACCTGTTGCCAAGCGTGGTGGGTGGAACTAGCCTCCTCCAGCACGTGATCTTGAACGGTCTGGGAATGCCACAAAGTGAAAACGCCTATTGTGTGACAATCCCTCAGCCCTGCAAGAGTGTCTAGGAAAGTACAGCATCTGGCATTAACCCTCAGCTATGTGGATAGAGACAGAAGCTGTGGCCTGAGGCTAGAGGGAGGATAGCACCCTCTCACAGGGAAGCTGCTGCCCTTGCAGTTCAAGCAGCTTTTCTAATTCCTGACCTTGCTGTGGCCTCGTGTGGCCCACACAGAAGGGGTCGGCACTCGTGTTTGGATCCATCACACACCCAGATTTTCAGACAGGATGGAAACCCACATCTGATCCATGCCCTAGATCCTCATGGAGCCCAGCTCATTATGGAGTAAATGTCACTGCTAAGACGAAACTTGGAGTGCTCACCCGGAATTTCTGGTTGATGGGGTAGACAACCCTGGCTTTCAGCGCAAATGCTGTGATGTTGCCGCTCAAGGAAGGCTCACACTCCTGCAAAGGAAAGAAAGTAAGCAGCACAGTGAGCTTTCTGCCATGTTAAGGACAGATGGTCAGGAGTCTCCAAAATGTCACATTCCACCTGCAACCGTGGCTGCAGGAAGGAACCATGACAAGCCCACTTGGATCCTTGCAGAAAGGATGGAAAAGTAGGTGGGTGGATTGGAAAATGGTGGATTTCAGAATGGGCAGAGGATTGAGGAATGGATGGGTGGGATGGATGGATAAATAGAAGGGTGAATCTATCAGTGAGTGGGACAGAGAAGAAGTAAATGGGCAGATGGGTAGAGGAAGGGATAGGTGAGTGTATAGAGGAAGGGAAGACATGAATATATGTGTGTATATCTGTGTCATAGTTACTTTTCCTTTACTGTGATAAATGCCAAAGCAACTTGGAAAGGAAAGGGTCAATTTCACCGCAAATATTACAATCCATCATTGAGAGAAGTCAGGGCAAAAACCTGGAGGCAGGAACTGGTGCAGAGGCCATGAGAGAGCACTTGCTTTAGAACAGGTGCTTGTCCTGCTTTCTCATACACCTGGACCTAAATAGGTGGGTAAATAGGAACGCCTTCCCAGGGTAATCACCACCCACAGTGATCTTGGCCCTCCCACAAAAACTGTCAATTAAGAAGATGTCCTACAGGCTTGTCCACTGACCAGTCTGGTGGGGGCATTTTCTCAGTTGAGGTTCCTGCTTCCCAAGTGGCTCTAGCCTGTGGCTGGCTGACCTATGACTAGCCAGCACAGTATGCATAGGTAGGTATATAAGTGGATGAAGAATGGAGCTACGCATGGATATGTGGATTACAGATGGATGAATAGATGGAATAATGTAATGAATGGGTGAGTGAGCAAATGGGTGGTTTAATAAAGGATGAAGGAGGGGATGGATGGGTGGGTAAACAGGTAGATCCATGGATGTGTGGATGGGAAAATGGAGACATAGATAATTGTATGTATTTATGTATGTATATATATATACATATGTATATATGTATATATATACATACATAAATACATACATATATATATATATATATACACATACATAAATACATATATATATATGATGGGTAGACAAATGGATAAATAGATGGGTACATAGACAAATGCTTGGACAGACAGGAACTATCATTTAATTCTCATGTTTCAGCCTTGAAGTAATTAGGCTTTTTAATACCTCAATTAACATGCATCTCCTGAAGGACTATGAACCATCTTCAATGGGAGGAACAATCATACAAAGTAACTGAACTTTGAGGAATTAGAGCTCACATTTCACAATGCTCCTGGGTCACTGCAGCCTACGACAATTCATATGTTTCAAAGCAACTGGACGAGTCTAAAGTTTCCTAACTCACAGAGGTGGCAGATGTGATAGTACCTGGGTCACACATTTCATGCCTATTAGCACGCTGCACTCTACTGAGGCAGATGATTACATGTGTCAATTAAAATTTAAAAGTCAAGCGTTAGCACCATAGTATAAACACACAGGCAACGTTCACACGGGGTTTTGGAGTAGAACCTCAAACAAGAAAGGATTGGCTGAGTCAGCCTCAGTCTGCTCATGCAGTGGACAGATGGGAGGCCTAATCCTCAAAGATAGTAGTCATGAAGCTTCCAGCTCAGTCCCTGGGACCAAGAGGATGCTAGGCACTGAACAGCCGCAGAGCTGGTGTTCACAAACCACGCCTCCCTCAGAAGCCACCTCTGACGCATGGGAGGGACCAAGACATTGCTCACCCTGGCACACTCTGCACCTCTTCTGATGGTTTCACTCAGTTGTGCAGGCTGGCCTTGAATTGACTCTGTGGCCCAGGCAGGCCTTGAACTTATGATCTGCCTCATCCTCCGAGCAGCTGGGATTATAAAATACAGCACCGGGTCGGAGGCCCTTTGCGGTTCAAAGTGTCATATAGCAGAGGTAGAAGGAAAGGAGAGGGAAAGAGGAGAAATAGACCTCAATTAACATGCATTAATTGGGGAAGGTTCGGTTTCTCCATTCAGTAGAGGACAAACACACACTGGGTCAGTGTGAAAGACAGAGAGAGGACCATGCATGCCTTGTGTGGCGGCAGGTAGAGTTGGAGCGCCTGTGGAGGCAGGCATGACTGAAAAGCCTGGGTGGGAGTGCTGGGCCTAGCCCTGGCTGTGTGAAGCTCTACCTGCGATGATGACTGTGTGAACCTGTGTCCCACAGGGGACCTGCTTTGCTTTGGCTGGAAGACGGAGGACACTAGAGTCCTGGGCATGTGGAGGCAAGGGCAGGCAGCTCCTGCCACTGGACAGAATACAGAGACTTTAGCTTTTCGCAGCTCTCCTCTCTGAAGCTAAATGCTCCAAATCTGATGTTTCCCATCAGGAGGTACAATGATCTAGAAACTGGGTTGTCATGCACAGTTACAAGGTAGAACGTCAGCCAAAACAGGGCAGTTGTTCAGAAAACTGGTGAAGGTGTCACCGAGGAGAAAGAGAAGCTGTTTCCCCCACTGGCCCTAAGGCCTTCCTTTCAGCCTTGCACATTCACCTCCACAGCCTGCGTCCCTCCTCGTCATTAGCCAAGGCAATGTGCACACTGTGGAGCAGCAGGCCCCAGAAACCTTCCGAAAGTTTCTGTGTGTTTTAACCAGTGAGAGCTATTCATTAAACAGAGTTCATCTAGGGTGCAGCAGGACAGATCACTAGGCTGAGGTTCTCTGTGCACAGACACGGTAGCTGGGTTTACCAGGTAAGACACACGGCTGAACAGGCGGATATTTAACTCAGCTCTGGGCAATCATTAGCCTGGTGCTGGGTGCCTGCCAGGCACTGAGGCAGGGAGCAGTGCCCCCTGTGTGCGTTGTGCTCCGATGAAGTGCCTCTGAGACATGGATGCTGGCACAACCCTGGGAACCCAGTGGGGGGACTTCTGTGACTCTCACAGTGAGGGGCCTGAGGCTCAGACAAGTTACATTTCCTGCCCGATACTACACAGCAAATGTATAGCAGAGCTGGGATTGGTTCATCCTGGGCCCCAAGGCTGATGCTATTTCCATGGAATCCAGAGCCACCTTCATGGGAGTGAGGACTTAAAAACAAACAAACAAACAAACAAACAAACAAACAGTTTTATCACTATAGAATTCATACCCTGTACAGTTACTCTTGTATAATCTTCAACCAACCAGCTTCAAATGTTTCCCCAATATTGGAAGTATCGCATAGGCAATTTCAGAATGGCTCATTGAAGCAGAAGCCCTGTACTCTCTAGTAACTCCCCACCTTTCCCGGATAACCACTCAGCTACCTCCTGTCCATGTAAGTTTCTGTGCATGGGATCCTTTTAGGCCTGGCTCAGTGCATGGCTGGCTTTCTTCACTTTGAGTAACAATGGCCCAGGACTACAGTGTGTGTTAGCACTGTGTTCTTTTTCATGCCCAATAATATTCAGCACGGGAAGAACACAATTCTCTGTTTCTGTTTTGTTTGAGTCTTGGTTTCATTATGTAGCCCAGGCCAGTCTCAAAGTCACAATCGTCCTGCCTCAGCACCAGTGTTAAGGTTATAGGTGTAGCCCACTGTGCCTGAATGAGAGACCACATTCCGTCCTCCATGCATTTCTTGGCTGATGGTCATTTGTGTTGTTTCCAGTCTGGCTGTTATAGCCCGAGCTGGACATCTGTGTACAAGCATTTGTGTGGAAATAGTTTTTCTGTCTGCGAGTGGAATTTCAATGGTATGTAGGGAGGAGGAAGATAGCCAAGAGAGATGAAGGAAAACAGAAAGACAGAGGGATACCACATAACTACAACCTGTCATATACATTGTTCCATGGACCCAGAGAGTCACCCAGGTGGACAAGAGCAGAAAAGCTCTCCACAGAGAGCACATATGCAGAGACACGCAGGGAAGCAGAGACATGAGAGTGAGGTCTAGAGACACACAGTATTATGAAGGCAGTGCACCCCCTGGGTCCACAGGTCTATAGGTCCTGGAATCTCAGCAAGGCCCTTTTTTCACCTCCATAGCCTCCCTGAAGCTCTGAGGTGTGGGGTCTGCAGGCTAGGCTCTCCCACAGGAAAGAAGGCACAGACCACAGAAAACTTGGGAAAACAGGCTCCTTCCCTGCTTTGATTCCTTCAAGGACAGTTGCTTCAAAGCCCAAGCAATACATGGCCAGCAGAGGATCCCAAATATGGAGAGACCTGGGAGACAGGGGTAGGGAGAGTGTGAAGGGAAGCCATGCTTGTGCTGTAGATATGAGACAGACGTAAGGACACATCTGAATTTGGGGACCCATTCAGTTTGGGGACCCATGAAGGTGGGTCTGTCTTTTTGAACCCCAGTTTCCTCATTAGAATATGAGAACAAAAAGAAAAACTAAAGGAGAGAGTTATGAGGACACAAAGCCACCAGACTAATGACTCTGCCTCAACTTAAAGTATACAGTATATTCTGGAGAACCAGGGAACGGCAAGTGATGCTCCTTTTTCCCTGCTGAGGAAGCTCACCCTGGTCATGCTCCATGGAACTGAAGCAGGGCTGAGAAGACTCCAGAAAGGGAAAAAATCCATCTTCTAGGGTTTGTCAGATGCCCAGCTTTCCCTTGAGTGCTTATTTACTTAGAGTAATAACGTTTAGTTACAGGCTAGAACCAAGGCTTGAGCGCTAACAGGTGGATCCTGATAACACTAAGTTCACCAGTCAAACACCCAGGAGGTACCCAGCAGCTAACAGTGGTGTGCTCACACTGATTACCTCACTGGCTAGGAAAGGGGACTGGGTCTGGCTCTGCAAAGAAATGGGCAAATATTGATAGCAGGATATTGTGGGAACTGAGACACAAAGGGAGCAGGGTACTCTCCACCCAAATCTCTAGTCATCTCATGGTCATCAAACCCTACCTGGGGTGGCTTCTTGAATAAGTATGACCAGAGACAGGCACCAGAGCACTTTCTGGGGTGTTGGGACTTTAATTATGAGGGAACTTACTTCTGTCAAAACCCGATCAACTGTGGACTTAAAAATTGTGCCTTTTATTATTCATACATGGCAATTACAGGTACTATTTATACATGACAATAAATCGGCTAGTGGCTTGTGGCTTCCAGGAAGACAGTCCCACACCCAACCCCCGCTCACAGAAGCACACAGGCCCAAACTAACCTCAGGAGCATTCTCATCTCTAGAAGTTGTCATTTCTCTCTGGTGCCTCCTGGCCCGGGAGCCAATATCCCGCAGGCTCTGTGCAGAGGGCTCTGAACTCCCGAGCAAACGTTGAGTGTCATCTTTCTAAAACCCCAAAGGGGTGGAGAGAAACCAGAAGGGAAGTCACTCAGCCTTGTCCATCCTGCTGAACTTTAGCCGCCAAGCCCCCACCCAGCAGTCACCCCTGCTTACCATGAGCCATTCCCTGCCCCTTTCACCCACCAGGCATCTACTAGAGTCCTTTAAACCCACACCCCCTGCCCCAGGTCACCCAGGTCATCTTTCAAGGATACCCCCTAAGATGCACATCTCAGTTGACCTTAAGACTTCAGTCTACAGTGGGAGCGAAGCTCTCAGTGTTTCTCAATTTCTGTTCTACCTTCATTTCTGTAGCTGGGACAAAATAGTCTGACGGAAGCAACTGCGCCTGCACGCATTCATTTCTCGCTGCTCTTGATTGTGATATGACTAGCTGCTTCGGGTTCCTGCCTTGATTTCTGCAGGGTGATGCACTGCCCTGGATTTGTAAGCTAAAACAAACCCTTTCTCCCAACTAAGTTGCTTGCTGTCAGGTTTATCTCTTCACAACAACACACATGAAACCAGAACAGAAACCGCGATCCCCAAGGGCCACCCTATGGAATGTTCAGACTGTATTTTCCCTGTTGTTCTTAGTATAGCCTCTGAGTGGCTTTTTTTTAAAATAACAATCAACAGAGGAATGATTTCTACTGTAGACTACAATCAGAAGCTGTGCAATCTACAACCCCAGCACTTTGCAGATGTCAACACTGTTATTCATGGGCTTCATAGGCATTGATGGGCACATGAGCAGTGGAGGGCACCCAAGTGTTGGTCTGGGTGGATATGAGCACAGAGAGGCACTCTACCAAGCCCACTCTCCTTGTCAAATAGAGTCCCCTGTTGCAGCTACATGTCTGGCTTTCTGCAGCTGTATTTCTTGTTTTAGGAGGCTGTGATCCTGAAGCCCTGCCTAGCATTCTTAAGTACTGGTGGGACATGATGTACCCGACAGAGAATGTCCTTGTGAAAAAGGATCTGCCCCCAGCCAGAGTCCTGGGGTTCTTGGTTGTGAGCTCTAAGATAGAATTAACAATACGTAGGCAATGAGACCTTTTTAAACAAGCACAGGTCACTCTTGAAGATGGACTGATGGAAAGAGAGGCTCAGGGGATTCTAAGCAGTATTCCCCAGGCAAAGGCTTAGTGTTCACCTGTTCTAAGTAGGTTTGAGGAACATAACTATAGTGGGTAAGGAGAATGGGTGGCACATATAATTCCGTTAGGAAGGCTGGTTCAGTTGGAAAGGTCTTGCCATGCAGGCGTGAGGACACAGCTGCTCTCCCAGAACCCGTGTCAGAAAAGTTGGGTATGTGTGTGTATGTGCTCTTAACCCCAGTGCAGGGGAGGAGGCCACAGGTAGCCAGCCAGCCTAGCCTGCTTGCCTAGGCCCGTGAGAGACTCCTAAAAAACAAGATGAGTAGTGCCTAAAGAATGACAGCAAAGTTGACCTCTGGCCTTGACACAAGCACACCCATGTGAACAGGCATCTATATCTATACACATACATGCACTTGCACATGCATGACCTGGTACACACGCACACACACGCACACACACACACACACACACACACACACACACACACACTCGGGCCAGCAGGATGGTTCAGTGGGTAAAGACAGTGGTCACTGAGGTTTATGACCTAAGGACTGTCTTCTGTACCCACACAGTGGAAGGGGAGAGCTGACTTGGGGAGAATGCCCTCTGCTCTTCACCGCCGTTCTTTGTCATGTGTGCATGCTTGCCCCCTCCCCCCACATACACACAAAAATAATTGTATTAATGCACTGGTGAACTGGTTGTGCAAGAACTAATCAGGGCTATGATTCAGCACCCACGAGGTACCCAGCCTTGTTCCGGACCCCGACAAAGTTTGTTTGAGAGGAAACTTAAACGAGAGAGCAAGCCTCCAAGGTCCCCGGGAGAAGGGTGTGAGAGCAACTGCAAAGGGCTGGATGCAGATACAAGCCTGGCAGCGCTCAAATGTCCAGGAGTCCATGTGGCTGGAGCAGGGGTAGCTCTCAGGGCAGAAAGGACAGATGATACAGCCCCAAACTTCAGGATGCTTTGTTTAGCCATGGAGGCTGCCTGTGTTAGGGTCTACCTAGATGAAACTCACTCAAGACCCCAGGAGAAAGCACACCCACCCCACAGAGGTGGAACCAGTCTTCTCCTCTCACACTTAGAAATGGCCAGGAAGCCAAGGGTACAAGTGATCTGGAGACAAACTCTAACAAGAAGGGCATACCCCAAAACAAACAAACGGAACCACTGCTAAGGGTCGAGGAAACACAAGACAGACAACAGACAATTACAGTGTCCTCAGAGAGATAGGAGTGATTCTACTCATAAACGGGCACTCTAGGGTAAGAGCAGAGGACCTGGGGAACAGAAAAGAGCTCTTGAAAACAAACACATAGAAAACTGAATCACAAGAATAAAATTGAGGAAAGCCTCCCAGCTTCATATACGTTATATACACATGTGTATGTATATATGTGTGCAAAACACACACACACACACACACACACACACACACACACACACAATATCTATCCAAGAGTTCAGGACTGCTCACAATTGTAGTTGACTAGCACAAAGGGTTACACATAAAGAGACTTGATAACGGAGAGAAAGAAGATAAGGAGAGGCTAAAATCAATCCGGACACATATGAGTTCTTGAAAGAAGTGAGAGAACAAGAAAAAAAATTCTCAACCAAACACGGTTCTAGACGGAGAAAGCCAGATGCCAAGCACAACAGAGGAGAGCACACTGTCTCTGGCAGAAACCAAAGCTGACAGAACCCATCTTACCCAGTGGGGCTTACCACAACTGATTAAATGTCTGCTCCTCTATGCCAGGAGTCTCCCTGAATATTCCATCCATTATTATTGACACAGTTGTCAGTTACCGTGTCCAGTAGCCAGCCCTGGACATAAGATCACATGCTTGTTGTACTGCCAGGCTTTGCCTCTTTCCTCATCTGCAAAATGGGGTCATATACGGAACTGATTCAAAGCTGTTTGGAGAGTTCAGAGCCTTGGGCAAACGGCCCAGCCCAGTGCCTGGAACAGACAGCTCTCAAGAAATGCTAGCCTGTTTCTGCTCCACCACTGGACCCATCCGGTTCCGTTATAACCAAATGCTGACTGGAAAGATGTCTTTTATGCTCACCGATGTGACATTCAAGGCCCCGGACCAGTGACCCCTTGTAAAAGGTCCTCATCCCACTCCTAGGGAAGGTCGGGCACCTCTACAGCAAGGAAGAGAGTGTGGGCATCCGGGTGCACACACTAACCTTCCTCTGCCCCTACACCGTGCTGGGCGCATCTGCTGGGACCATGTCCGAACTTTTAACTACACCGGAGGGCACTGAGGCCCCGAAGGGCTTGGGGCGACGGTCTTTCTGCGGACCTCAGGTCGGTGCCCTTAGGCCACTCACCCCATCCCCTTCCGGAGAAAGCCCGGACCCTAATTCTCCTGGAGCAGCAGGCTGCGCTCCATCGCGCTCAAGAGATGCCGAGCTGCGGTTCAGGGAATGCAGCCCGGGAAGGAGGAGGGCTTCCAGTCTCCCCTACCCGCGCCCCGCCGGGACCCACCTGGAGCCGCGCGCGTACACGGCCCGCGCGGCAGCCGAGCCACAGGCCGAGGCCCAAGCCGAGCGCGGCGCCCAGCAACACGGCGGGGACCAGGAGCGTGGGCGCCGCCTGCAGCGCTTCCCGGCCCAGCTGCAGCCGCGCATCGCTCGTGCAGGCCATGGGGGCTCGGGCCTGCATCCCCCCGCCGCATCCCGCTGCCCGCCAGCTCCGCGCCTCGGCGCCTCTCTCCGCGGCGCCCAGGCCGTGGGTGGAGCCTGGACCCGCCACACCAAACTTTCAGCCATTCCGGGCCACCCCGGCCGTGCACTGAGCATGCGCAGCCCAGGCGCGCCTTCCAGCCAGAGGACCCCAAAGGCAAGGGCGAGGGAGCACCTTCCTCCTAGTCTCCTAGTCACCTTCCTCCTAGTCTACCCTCTGTGGTCCCTGAGCGCCTAGGCTGCCCAAGCCTGGCCTGGCAACCCCATTAACCCTAGCAGCACCGCCAAAGTGACGACTCACCTCTGCCTCCGCACTCCATCGCTTAAACTCTCCTTTTGATCCCATTTTCTCGCCGAGAAAGTTTCTTCTCTACGAGATTGTGCGGGGCGAATGTCACATTCTGATCCCTCTAGAACCCAGACGTCTCTTCATTTTGTCATTCATCGTTCCGCGTGGGCAGGATGGGAGCGAGGACTTCAGCCTCTTTAAAGAAGGAAAGCACCAGGGGAGGTGACGTTTTCACGGACTGGCAGCTCAGAAGTCGGCAGCGTCTGCCTACTCACACCTGTGGCTGCAGGTCACACATCGGCCACGAAGACGTTCCTGTTTCCCCACGACATCTCCGGGAACATCCTCCCGGTAACAGCTTCATGTCGCAGCTTAGTGTTTGTTTGGATGCTCAGGCCTGAGCTTTAAAAAAAAAAACAAAAAAGGTCAAGGCCAGGCAGTGATGTCCCGGCCGAAAGTCACCTGTTAAGAATACCGCCCTTTAAACCATCTGTCTTAACACCGCTCCAGGATGCCTCAAGATTGCAGTACTTTATTTGAGAGGGTTTGCCTAAGGACACTCTAAGAACTGCAAACTCATGGCCTTGCCCAGGTCAGGTCAAGAAAAGGATGTGTGTCTCATTGGAAGTGTGGAGAGCTCCAGGGCAGCTGCTCAGCAGGACAGCTCACAGAAGACCCTGTTCCTGAGTAAGGGACATCGCCAGAGCCCAGAAGGCAGACTACCCTCCCAGCTCCTCTCTCTGGGCACACAGGAGAGCACTACCCCCCCCTCGGGGGGTTCTCCCCCATTTACTCACTGGCCAAGTGATGATTTCACTTGGGCATCAAGTAACGGGCAGGTCGAGGGAGATCCCTAGCCCGGATTCAGAAAGTGGGTGCTTCCCTGAGAGTGGGCTGAGCGAGGGTCACCTTTTTTTCTCTGCTACCACCTCTGTCTACCCCCTTCTGCTCCTTACCATGTCCCTTAGGTGACCTTTTCTAATGCCTCCCTGCAGTGGTTGGAGGAGGGTCCGGGTTCAGTCAATGTCTCTTGGAATTCCTAGTGCAAAGACTGAGCTGGGATCTAGAGAGCCATTGGGCCCCAGTGGGGACCCTTGTCATCTTTGAGGAGGGAGAGCAGCGTGTTGTTTTCGATGAGGCATAGCAAGCGAAGGCGCTGTGCAACTCCCTGCCGCGCGCGGCTGGCGGCCTCCAAACTCCGGCTGCCAGCGTTCCAGAAAACTTTCCGGGAGGTTCGTACTGAGCATGCTCCGTGGCGGGGCGGGTCCGGGCTCCGGAAGCTCCGGTACTCAGCGGGGCCTGTGTGGGCTCTGCAGCTACCAGATGGGGGCGAGGGGTCCCACGGGAGCCCGCGGACGAGCCTCGTGGATGCTGGCTGGGGGCGTCCTGGCCGCGGCCCTTGTGCTGGGCGCGGGTCCCCGCGCGTTCCCACCCGTCTTCTCTGCACTGGGCCCAGGCGCACCATCCCGGCCCGGCTTTGCCCAACCCCAGCCAAGCTCTCAGGTAAGGGAGGCGGGTGCCTGCGGCTGTCTAAAATCACTGAGCGAGTCCTGCCCTGTGGGGCACAGGATCAAGTGGAGGGAGAGGATGAACTTGTGCCCGGTGGTGTTTCTGCTTGTACCAGGGAATTCCGGGACCGGTGCCGTCCCAGACTTGGTAGCCACGGGCTTGTAGGGGTTCGAATCCATATCTGCACCCTAAGAGTTGAGTGTCTGAGGACAAATCACTTATGTCTCCCTTTCTCTGCCAATGGACCCAGGTCATTAGAAGTTGTCTTGCATTAGGTGAGTTAATGTATATCGGGGTGGCAGTGTGGTGAGAGAGCTAGGAAGACAGGCTGGGTATGTACCTGGCTCTGCATTCCTGGGTGGATTAAGCCACTGGCCCTGTTTGTGGTTCTAGAATTAGAAAAGCAGAGGGTCTCCACTGCCCCATAAGCTCCTCTCCTCAAACTGGTCCAAAAACTTCCAGCCTTCTTCTCTAGGTCAGTTTACACACTACCCTTCCTGCCCTCTGTAACTTCCTTGCCTCAGCCGTCACTTGCCTCAGTTGTTTGCCACCTCTTAATTTCGATGTTATTTTCTGATGGTCAGCTTTGCTTGTCAGCCTGACACATCCTAGAATGACCTGGGAAGGCTCTCTCAGTGAGGGATTGCTTAGATCCGGTTGTTCTGTGGATATGGTCTGGGGTAGGAGTGGAGGGTTGTCTTGATGTGGGAAGACCCAGCCCACTGTGGGCAGTGCCATTCCCTGGGCAGGGGGCCTTGACCTCTGTCAGATTGGAGAAAGCAGGCAGAGTACTAGGCCTGCACGCATTTATGGTTCTCTGCTCTTAACTGGCTGTGATGTGACCAGCTGCCTCAAGCTCTTGCCTCTTGGCTTCTAGGTAAGTGTAGATTTTTAACTTGAATTGTAAGCAGAAAGAAACCCCTTTCTCTTGTAAGCTGCTTTCTTGTCTGGATGTTCTGTTGAAGCAGCAGGAAGGAAACCAGAGTGTCTCTCATTCATTCCCTGAAGACCCCTGGGGGATCACCCACACAGGTGCTCATCACTTCCCTGCCTCGCACAATCATAGCCCTAGGACCAAATCTAGCTTCTGGCCCAGGAGAGCCCTGGCCAGTGGTGTGGCCTATTGGCACCGGCTCTGGCATCTCCTGCCCACTCTCCCACCTGTAGACCCCCAGATACTCATAGGACCACTCTTGTTGCAGAGGCTTAGTACTTTAAGGGTGATTCTATTCCTTTTCGGTCACTTGCTGTCTTAGGTTGTCACTGTATCGTCCCTGGATTGCACTTTAAGCCCAGTGACTGATATTTTCATGAAGTCTTTTCCCTTACTTTTCCTGGAAAGGTGGGGTTCAAGTGGTCTACTTGTGGAGGATAAAATCAAGGCTGTAAGAGCTGCTGTGATCCTGGCCTGTGCTCTCACTGTGGTCCTCACATCCAGAGCCAAGGTCCAGGCTTCAGGCGCTCAACTCTCAGGATCAGCTGTGGAGTCTGGAGGAGGGTAACTGTTTTAGAGGAGGAATATGCTTTGAGAAGTCTCCGAAGCCATCCAGAACCAGGGCACTTAACTGTCATGAATCACTCTATCCTTTTGGGGGCCTGGACTGAGCACCTGTATCCAGGGGCCTTGGTACCTTGAGTGATTGGGTTGCTTTAGTCTTGTCCATAGAGTCAGCTCTTTTTCATCACTCTCAGCCTATTACAGACAGTTCCTCTGTGAGCTGGCTTTTGGATAGTCCCACCTTAGCTGCTTCTGTCTGTGAGGCTGGGTCTAGTCTCAACCCCTAGGGCTTCAGTTCTGAACAGGGCTGTAAAGTCACTCTCTGAAAACCCTATAGAAGGTGCTTATTAAATGCTCCCTCTATGGTGTTGAAGCCTTCCCTAGTCTCTGTCTCTGCTTCCTCTCCTCAATATTCACATCTAAGAGCCATGCTCTGTACATGGGGTTGGAGAGATAAATTTCCAATTGCATGTTGATTAAGCACTTTGAGAAATGTCTTAGTTAGGGCTTCTTTTGCGGCAAAGAGACACCGTGACCATGTCAACTCTAATAAAGGGAAATATTTAATTGGGGCTGGCTTACAGTTCAGAGTAGTTTAGTCCGTTGTCATCATGGCGGGAAGCATGGCAGCATGCTGGCAGACATGGTGCAGGAGAGGTGCTGAGAGTTCTATATCCACATCTGCAGACAGCAGGAAGAGAGTGTCACCGGGCCTGGCTTGCACATCTGAAACCTCAAAGCCCACCCCCAAGGCTTCCAACAAGGCCACACCTACTCCAATAAGACCATACTGACAAGGCCACACCTCTTAACATTACCACTCCCTTTGAGCCGATGGGGTCTCTTTTTATTCAGACCACCACAAGTGGGATGAAGGGACTGTGAGGGCTGCTAGGGGAGGAGAGACTTTCAGATGGAGAGGCCACAAAGTGCAGACATTTGGGAGGAGAGTAGAAAGGGCTCCATAGAAAGGATCCTGGGTGGGTATGGCCCAAGTAGGGCAGGCTTGTCCTTGGTTGTCTTTGGCCCAATGGCACCCAGGCATCTTTAGTCAGACCTTGACTTCCTGGAATGGGCTATCTGGCTGCCTCTTGGATGGATATGATCTACTGGGTAGGTGTCCTCTTTCATTTTTCAGGTTGCCACACCAGAGTGGGCTCCAGGAACCCAGGGTTTTTGAACCTTTCAAGGGGTCCATGGAGTCAAGGCTATTTTTAAGGTGTTACTGAAACTCAGTGTTCCCACTCACTTTCTCAGAAGTGACATGATGTGGGACATTGGGGAGAGTTCACGCAGAGGCATGTTTGAGAATCAGGTGCATTTATGAATTCAGACACAGGTGATTTTGCAAAAGTTTGAAACAATGACATGATGACTTTTTTGTTTAATTTGAAAAAGCTGGTGATTTTTATAAAATTTCCTAGTTATGTGACTGTAGGATTCTTATTCCTATTTTAAAAATGGATACTTGACTATTGTACTCTTTTTAAAATATAGTCTTTCTGTAGCACAGGAGAAACTGAGGAAATACTGACAAATGGAATCCATCCAAACCCAAGTTCTTCAGTCCTTTCTAATGATGTATAAAGAAAGGACCGAAGCCCCCAAAATTGGGAGCCTCTGTTCTCTTGCAGTCCCTGCCTAGTTCCTTAGGATTTGGGGATGAAATAAGCCAGATCCTCTTTGAAAGCTGTGTATGTGTCTCAGAAGGAGGCCTGCTCCTTGTATCATGGTTTTACTTAAAATATGATGCAATGGTTCAGACCGACTGGGTTGCTGAACTGAATGCCCTGGGTGTGTCCTAGGGAGGAGAAGAGAGAGTAGAGAAGTGGTGGGAGTGAGACAGAAAGGGGAAGGGAGAGACCCCAGCATGGCACACTGAGACATCATCTGTTACAGAGTGTTTTCTGTATCTTTGTTGTTGTTACACTGTATCTTTGTTGCCATATTATGACTTTGTTCTTGTTACACTATATCTTTGTTGCCACACTGTGTCTTTGTGTTACAGTGTATCTTTGTTGTTTATTGTCACAGTATATCTTTGTTGTCATTACACTGTATTTGTCTTAGTTGTTATACTGTATCTTTGTTGTTATACTGTGTCTTGATTGTTAACACATTGTATTTGTGCCGCCACACTGTCTTTGTTATTTCTGATACATTGTATCTTTGTGGTTGCTACACTGTTTCTTTGTGGTTTTTGTTGTTGTTGTTGTTGTTGTTGTTGCACTGTGTCTTAGTTGGGGTTTTTTTTGACTGTGATAAAAAAACACCATGGCCAAAAGCAAATTGAGGAAAGGGTTTCTTTGGCTTATGCTTCTACATCACAGTCCATCACTGAAGCAGGGCAGGAACCTGGAGGCAGGAGCTGATGCAGAGGCCATGGAAGGGTGATGTTTACTGGCTTGCTCCACATGGCTTGCTCAGCCTGGTTTCATACAGAACTCTGGCCCCCCAGCTCAGGATAGTACCACCCACCTTTCCTAGAGCCAGTTCTTATGGAAACATTTTCTCAATTGAGACTCCCTCCCATCTTATGACTCCTACTTGTGTCAAGTTGACATAAAAGTAGGCAGCACACTGTATCTTTGTTGCTGTTGCTGCTACACTGTATCTTTGCTGCTGTTACAATGTATCTTTGTTGTTGTGGTTGTTACACAGTTTCTTACTGTAGTTTCTAAGTTGTTCTGTTTCTGTGTGAAGGAAACCTGTCCTCAAATGCTTCTTGAGTCTTGTGGAAAAGAGTAGGGGTCTCTGGGGCTTATCAGCTTTTTCTTGACCTTTAGTAGCTGGTGCCTTCCAGAACTCAGTGCTCAGCTCTCTCTTCTGTGGACTGGTATACTCTTGGCCATCCAGTCCCCTACAAACCCAATTTTTGTTTTTCCAGCAGAGCCTTTGCTGAGCTGCTAGGTGGACCTGTTTGTCTGTTGAATGTCCCCTCTCAGGCCTAAACTTGCACCTTTTGTACTTTGGAGCCACACTGTCTGCCTTTGATCCTCATTTTGGCCTTGGCTGTCTCTTTCTTTGTCCCACATTCCCTGCATTGGCAGGTTCCCTGTTTCCAAACATGCTGACAGTTTTCACTCTTTATAAGGGTGTTCTTGGTATCATTACCACTCATATCTTGGATGGACTTCCTCACCCCTGTTCTTGCTGACCTGCCCCATTTAGAAGTGTCTCCTCTTCACTCCTCATGTGGAAGCTTGTCTGTGCTCACAGACGAAACCAAATTCCCAGAGCAACCTGAGAGTCTCTGGATTAATCCTTACCATACTCCCTCATCTCTTGTGTATGTCCCAAGTTTCTCTGTTCATGCCATCAGCCTCTTCGCAATTCCTTGACAATTCTGGGCACCTTCCCACCTTGGGGCTTTTGTATTTGCTGATCTTTTGCCTGATGGCTACTCCCCTTTAGATTCTCACAGCCCCTCCATCCCTTCTCCAGACTGTCACTGAGTCATTTCAGAAGGCCTTCCAACGCTGACCAAGAGCTGCAACTCTCAGGGGTATGTGCACACTAGCACTTGGGAGGTCAAGTTAGGAGGATCAGAAATACCTTAGCCTCAGTTTATAGTGCATTCAGGGTCAGCCTAGGCTACATGAACCGCTGTCTCAAACAAACAAACAAAAACCCATCATTACTCTTTCTCTGTTACCCTTTATTTCTCTCTCCACATATGCTGGTTAGTTTTAATTAGAACCTTGTCACAACTTAGAGTCACTTGAGAAGGGAATGAGTCCATCTGCATCAGGATTGCCTTTGTGACATCTGTGCGGGGTTGTCTTGGCTGTTCATCTGGGAAGTTGTAAGATGAATGGATGTTAAGTTGTTAAGATGAATGTGGGCAGCTCTAGTTTGTGGGCTGGGCTCTGGGCTGTGTGAGACTCAAGAGAGCTGGCTGAGCAGCAGCAGCATGTCACATGAGTGAACTGAGTTCTCTGTTCTCCTGACTGTGATGCTGTGTGGCTAACAGTTTGGGATCCTGCCTTAACTTCCCCAAAATGATACATTATAAACTGGAGTTCATTGTAAGCCAGATAAACCCTTCCCTCTCATGTTTTCTTTCAAGGCGCCTGTTACAGCAACAGAAAGGAAAGTAAGAAGCCATGCTTAATACTGTCTAATATTCTGTTTAAATAGTGAAGATATACAAGTAGTGCATTATTCATGCAAAGTACAAAATACATACAAATGCTATAATATAAATGATGCTGTTTCTATAATGTGTTGCATATTATTGCCTCTTTTGAATTTGTTGTAAGTCCTGTGAGGACATATTTGGTGATTTCTCAGAGAAGCTAACTGCAGGCTTCTGTTATGTGTCTTTGATGCCTTCTGGCCGAATCTTGGTCTGTAGCAATCACCAAGTCTCAGTACCTTTACTTCTAGTACTGACACTTAATACAACTTGTTGTTGTTGTTGCAAAGTCGTGATTTTTACAGTTTCCTCTGAAGAGTGTTGTAGAAATGATGATGGCGACGAGACAGCAGTCATAGTGACAGGAACAGTCCACCCCATGGGTCACTGTATGTGCAGTCCTGTGCTAACTGCTGTGTGTATGTTTAATCCAGTTTAATCCTTCAAAGCATGACACAGAGGTGTGATTTTCCCTGTCTGTAGTTGAGGAGACATGCCAAGACCAGTGCCCATTCTGGAGGAGCCCGCGTTCTCTCAGCTGGAGCAGAGAGTGTGTAGTGGTACTGGTAGATATTTGATAGATATAGTGGTTGGGGTTGTGATGACACGGATGGGGGCATATGTGGCAGGCAGCACTGTCTATGGGTGGCAGGAAAGTGTTTGGGAGCTGCTAGATGGGCAGAGGCTGTGCTGGAACACAGAGTGGGGAAGAGCTTTCTGGTGAGGCTCTGATGTTCTAAGTGGGCAGCAAGGATGGATTTGGTTTCAGGTTGCCCCAAAAATACCATGTTCTGATGTAGAAATGGCTTGATGAAGTTACTATAGTCAACAGAACACACGGAAGTCCTAAATCCAGGCACGTTTCAAGTACTTTCGTGGGAACCTCTGACTGACAGGTTATAACAAAGAGGGGTCTCACATGCTGTATGACAACACTCTTAGCTTTTGGGTTGGTGAGAGCCAGAGATCTGCAAAGTTAACATACCCCAGAAGGTTTTACTTGGTAGTCACAGGATGCTAGGTCAAGACAGAGATGGGGGAATGACTGGCTATTAAGGAGGCTAATGATTGCCCTACATCATTTGAGTCTGGACCTGCAACATTCCAATTCTCTACAGTCAGGGACCTGCAGATGGATCAGTCAGCACAGACTGGCTTTTAATTTTTGGAAACTTCAGTGCCATGTGGTCCTGGAAGGGGTGAATGCACAGGTAGGGAAGGCTGTCCTGGTGAAGTCCTAGACGGAAAGGAACATGGTAACACGAACTGAAGTGGCAAAGAACTTGTCTGAGTTGTTGCATCCCAACTTTTGATAGTGGCCTCTCAAGTCATCCCCAAGAGGTCTCCATCCTAGCATTTCCTCCACCTCCTTTCTGAGCCCACTACAACCCAGGCTATATCTGTTACCCAGTCCAAAGCCACACCAAAGCTTTCAGTGATTCATTGTATCATCTTACACTGGCTCCTTCTTAATGAGTCACCTAGCCTCAGGTATTTTGTTACAGTAGCATGAAAGGACTCAGACACTCACCTTGCTGCTAGCTACCAGAGCTATACCCTGCTTTGGGTCCATGCCTTCCTGCTCCAGTACATAGCAACCAATGAGCAGAGGATATGAGTGCAGCACAAGTCAGGATCATTTCCAGGCACAAAGGACCAGTAAAGTCTGAGTTCCTGGTTACCCTGGTCTAGGAGCGCAGTGTGGATGGGAAAGAGTATCAGTCGATGTGAGGTCTGTTCAGATCATTACTTGGTATACGGGGCACAGGACCTGGTACCCTGAGGGGATACATCCAGTGTTGCTGTTCATCATCATCATCACCATCATCACCACTACCACCACACAGTGGAAAGAGCTGGAACCTTCTAGGGCCCAGTGGAGAGTACACCCCTTGATTCTGCTGAGCAAGCTGCCAGCAGGTTTGACCTGATCACTTCTTAGAGAGGAAATTGAGGCTAGAGAGGCTGAATGACGTATCCAAGGCCACATAGAAAATAAATGGTTATACCTAGACTCCATATCCTGCATTTTATCTCCCAGCCTGATCACTGACTGGGCCTGGCCCAGGCCAAGAGTAAGCTGTGATTCTCATTGCGACTCCTTTTTGTTCCCAGGCTTTGATTCATGATCCTTTAACACTATTTAAATGAAATATTTCAAGTTCTTGAAAACTGGGATCAGCAGAAATAATCCCCGTGGTGTCCTTTAAAGAGTTTCTCATCTTGCACTTACATTAGACTGGTGAACATGGAGTTTTTCTCACTTTCTAATGATTTTTTTTTTATGTGTGTGTGTGTTTTATTATAGTACAGAGATATTTCAAGAGAAGCCCAAGGTCCCTCTGAGAATGGAGTGATATTTCAAAAATGCTCACTGGTAAGTTTCCAGGGGAGAAAATAATTGGATTTTGCCCAAGTATCTAAAGTCATGTATTTAGGAACTAGCAGCCAGTGGGTCTGTGAGTTCACTCTGAGACCCAGGCAATGAAGAGAACAGACCCGAGCTCCCATAGCCCCTCGTGGTTACTTAGGGCAGGCTGAAAGCGTGCCATGTTTACCCACATGATGAACAGTGATATGTGTGTGTGTGCGTGTGTGTGTGTATATCTGTGTACGTGTAAATGCATGTGTATGTGTTTGTATGTGTATATAAATGTATGTGCTCATGTATGTGTGTATGTGTGTGTTTGTGTATGTGTATCTATGTATGTGTGTGTATATATGTGTGTAGGTATGTATGTATGTGTATGTGTGT